CTTGTGCTCTCTCTCTCTCTCTCTGTCAAATAAATAAATAAATAAAATCTTTAAAAAAAAAAAAAAAAAACAACCCCAGATGGGTGCCGGTCCCAGCCTCTCAGGTCCAGCAACAAGGGACCTGGGGAGGCCTCTGGTCCTGGCCACGTAGCTTTTGGCAAGTACGCATTCCCCTCCCCTCATGAGGGCACCTGGGCCTGACGAGTGGACAGAGGGCCCCAGGCACTCACGTCCAGGATGTCCATGCGCTGCCGGAGGCTGAAGTTGAGGGCGTAGAATTGTGAGGTCAGATACTCTGCGACCTGAGCCGGGCACACGAAAGGCCGCTGTGGGCCACCACCCAGGGCTAGGGCCCCCGTGCAGACGCTGCCTCGTGGCAGGACCGCAGCACCACCCCACCCCTGGGACTCACCGGGGCCGGGTCTGTGACCACGACAGCCACCAGGGCTCGCTGGCGCAGCCCCTCAAACCCCACCACGCTCGTCTTCTCCTCCAGGTGCAAGAGCACCTTGGCCAGCTCCACGCTCACCTGCACACACGGGTCAGCGTGCCTCAGCCCCCCACCTGCCCTCTGCCTCCCCACCCCAGCCGCGCGGGCCTCCCAGGCAGACACATAGCCCTCCCTCACCTCGCGGGCGGCAGCCGGGCTCCTGACAATCAGCCCCTCGAGGGCTCGCAGGGCTGCCTCCCAGCGCTCCCAGTCCTCGGATGAGGTCAGGGCTACACAGAACAGACGGGCCCATGCTGGTCCTCAGCCCTGACCTCGTGTGAGGCAAAGCTGACGGCCAGGGTCTGGGCGCTGGGCGGAGGCAGGCAAGTCCCAGGCCACGGGCAGTTCCCAGGGCTCAGCCACCCCAGGGCAGGCGTTGGTGGGGCTCCCGCCGGGGAAGAGACCCACCTTCCACGCAGTCCCGGACATAGGCAGGCGCCTTCCCACTCTTCAGCTCTTGGTCCCCCGACATGTCATAGGGGACAAGCTCATCGTCACTGGGGAAGCAGCAGAGACCCGCGGGGCCGGCCCGTCACCCAGGAGCAGGCAACAGGCAGGCCATGCTCCTGAGCCACTGGCATTAACCCCAAGTCCCCGAAGCCTCAGGAACAGCAGACTTTTCCTATTAGGGTGCTTGAGAAGAGCGGCGCTGCAAAGCTGACCCGCGACCTCCGCACAGCGCGGGCCGTCTGCTCCCACGCTCACATGCACGGGGCTCTGCTCCCCCATGTCTGCGGCTTCCACCTGAGACCAGCCCCTACCTGTCCAGGTCAGAGCCCGAGCCCTCCAACTGGGCCTGGGGGACGTCACCGTCCGTGCTCCCTCCGTCAGGGGTCTCTACAGCCGGGCTTTGGAGAACAAAGAAGGAGCCCTTCGAGGAGGCCCCACACAAGCTTCTGGCCCTGGAAGCCACCTTCCCTGGGAAGTGCTCTCCCTGTCCCCACCCTGCGCTTCTTCGCTTATGTCTCAGCTACTGGAGTCCAGGAGGACAAGGTGATGGGGTAACGCGCGTGCGGGAACGGGCCCTGTCCAGCAACCATGCCCAGAGCTTGGGGACCACGGGGCATGGAGACCCTCACCTTGCCTCCACCTCCGAGCGGCTGTCAGCCACAGGCGGGGTCACCGCCAGGGCCAGCAGCTCGCGGCTCAGCTCATCCTCTTCGTACTGCAACGCACAGAGGCTGGAGCCGGCCCGGGGCGGGCGGGCAGGCCCACGGCCCCTGCTGCCTCCAGCACAGCCCACGACTCTGCGAGTCTATGCAGGGCAGCGGGCAGCGCTGGGTGTGCAAGGCCGGGGGAGCCCACCCTCCCGACGGACCAGAATCCCCCGAGGACATCCTGGGGGGCTCCACAGGTGGAGGGGAGGGGACACCTGTCCAGCATGCCTGAGTCCTGTCCAGAGGGAACACTTGCGGACACCCCAGGGAATCCGCCTGGGGGCTACACCCCCACCCCTCGAGGTGAGGCCCTCAGCGGGGCCCCCAGGCCCTGTTCCACACCAGCATGCAGGGGCCGTGGCCCGGACCCAGGAAGACGTGGTGACACTGGGGCGGGGCAACACTGAGGGTGCCACCCTCGTTCACCTGGAACCTCAAGGGAGGCCCGTCAGGGTGGATCCGGGTGCTGGCTACTCCGGCCACAATCATGCCCAGGCGGCGCACAGCGGGCAGGCTGCTGTCCAGACGAGTCTTTACTCCCGCCATGAGGCTAGCCAGCAGCTCTGGAAGCCCCGACAGCCGCACACTGAGCACCGGTGGCGCGTGGGGACAGGCATGGGGCTGGGGCAGGGGCCCGCCTGCTCACCGTCCCGGCTGTCCCGGAGCTCCGTGTCCTGCAGGTGCGCCAGGCAGATGAGCAGGGCCGAGCTGACATAGCGTTGCTGCGGCAGAGGCGTGTGGCGGACGGCACTGGGGCTGCCCCACGTCTCCAGGAGCTCCTTCAGCGCCTGGCGGGCGGCGCGGGCGGTCACACGGCCCCGCCTGCCTCCCTGCATGGCGCCGCTGACCTGGCCGGCACCCTCACCCACTGCCAGCCCGCGAGAGGCTCTAGCCGGCACCCTCTGCTCCAGGCAGGGGCCCCCTCCCTTCCCTTCCCAGCAGAAGGTGGTCCTAGCACACCAGGGGTGGAGGGCCTGGCCGCGCTTACCTGTCTGAGGAGCAGGCGCCGCTGGCTGTCCATGGCCAGGTACCCCAGCAGGCTCTGTAGCATGGGCGTCTACGACAGAGGCCGGGCGTCCGGTCACTGCCGACCAGGCAGACACCAGCTGCCCACATGACGGGCCGAGGACCGTCTGCCCAGGGGTCCCGGAGCAAAGGCTGGTCTGGACTGAGGATCAGCAGTGCTTCCTGGACAACCGAGCTCAGCTCCAGACGCTACGGTCACTTCTGGGCCCTGGGGTGGCCCTCAGCCCACCCCCTTACCCCAGTCTCACCGAGTATCGATACTGTAGGAACAGAATTTTTCGGGTCATCACAAACTGGGCCTTCTTACTCTTCAACACCAGGTTCCCCAGGAGCCGTGAGAGGACGTCGGGCCTGCGAGGCACAGGCGGGGGCAGAGGGCAGAGCGTGAACTCCAGACGTCCCCAGCTCCGCGCTAAGCACTGGGAGCCCGGGGCCCACGCCCCAGCTCTGAATCACACCTGATGCTCCCTCCTCCCAGGGACAGCCCAGCACGTCCACACTAGCGGACGTCCCTCCCCTGCTCTGGCCGCGTCTAGTCGGGGGTGACAAAGGAGCACGGCCTCCCGGCGTGAGCTCACAGCACGTACGAGGGACGGGAGACTTGCTGTCCCTGGAGGCCCGCCTCCTGCCCCCCCCGGCTCCTTACCCCGAGGCAGCCTCCACCAGTCCCATTAGCAGAGCCTCCATGGCCCGGTCGGGCACACACTCCACCAGGCGCCAGCACACGCGCCGCCAGAGGCAGCTGCCCTGGGTGAGCGCCGTCAGCCGCGGCACCAGCACGCCCAAGATCTCCTCTGAGGGGAAGACACAGAGGCCCTGAACTCGGGGCTGTACGGCACCCAGTGTCTACAGCCCATGGGTCCGCCGGGCCCAGGAGAGGGGCCCAGGCTCCACAAGGGAACTGCGCTGCCCGCCCCCGCCCGGGACGGCTGCAGGAAGGGCGGGGAGACGTCCGCAAAGGACTGCGGCTCCTCCCGGGACAGGGAACACTCACTCTGTCTCCCGTGGACACAGGCCTTCCCGAGCACCTGAGACAGGAAGGAGACGGAGCAGTCCCAGCCACCTGGGACGGGAAGGAAAGCGGGATCTCAAAGCAGGGCAGCGGTAAGTCCACGAGACACCTGACTAGGTGGGAACAGACCTCACGTCTGTATGGGCATCTCTGCCTTGTAAAAACACCGTTTCTGACTAGTTCCAACTGAAACCTCAGTAGCACTGTCTCGGGCTGGAAGCACCCACCCTAATTTCACACTCCGCCTGCTTAATCGCCCGTGATGATTCCACGGAGTATGGCCCAGTGTCGTGGCACGGGGCAGAGGCGGCACCGAGGGGCAGGCCAGGGCAGTGAGCCCCGTGGGGCACGTCTGAGCCGCCCGCAGGGAGGAAACGGGGCATGGGGAGAGGGGAGGCCAGGCCCACCAGCCCCACGATGGCGGTGCCCACCACGAGACAGTCCAGACGTGCACGAAAGGAAACGGAGTATCTGCCACCTAAAGAGGGGCGTCTGAGCTCCTACAAAGACGAACCAGATGCAGCCGCCCAATAGAAGCAGACGTGATCTAGATTTGCTCTGGGCACATTCAGAACATGCTGGAGGCTTCTCAAGCACAGAGCAGGAGGAGGGGCAGCATGGCTGAGCAGACGCTGGCGCGCCTCGCCTCACCCTGGCCCCCTGACCCTCTGCAGTGGTGGGGCCTCCCTCGCAGGGCGGGCACAGGGACGATGTGAGCACACGTGTGAAGGGCACCCACTCCACAGCCTCAGCGAGACCCTGTGTGCGCCCCATGATGGGAGAGCAGAGGGTGGCGCAGACGCCAGGACCCCAACCACAGCAGACTGAGTGATATGGTCTCTAAGATGCTCCGTGAAGGCCCCGGCCGTGAGCAGCCCCATCTGCATGGCTTCACCGACGGGTCCAACCAGGAGCTAAAGGAATCAAGGTCAGCTCCATCTTCAAGGTCAATAGCCAAGAAGTGGGTGAAGCTCAGCATGCAGGTCACTACCACCCCACGCAGGAGACAACATCTGACCTGCCAACAGCATCACCTCGAGAATCCCAAGCGCCCCGAGGCCATGAAAAGCCCGGACGGAGGGAGGGAGGGAGGAAGGGACGGGATGGTGGCCAGAGAAAATGGCTGGAAGGACAGTGTGCAGGGGCCCGCACCTCGGAGAGAGTCCACCACCGCCTGCAGCACCCGCATGATCTCCTCCCCGAGCAGAGGGAAGTAATTCTGGGGGAGGAATGCCTCCAGGTTCTCCTGCTGCAGACGGTTGCCTAGGTGGTCGGGCAAGCCCACCACCTTGGTGAGGAGCGTCTCCTGGAGCAGGCGGAAGGCCGGCTCCGTCAGCTGCCGAGACTGGCCCTCCATCACCGCGGCCATCCTGCCCGCGCTCAGGAACCTGGCCAGCAGCTGCGCCATCTTCATCAGACGGAAGCTCGGGCTGAAGCAAGAGCAGGTGTGAAGGGCAGAGCCGTGAGCCCCCACCCTCAGTGTCCCCAGCCCAAAGGAAGAGCAAGTAATCCCACAGCTTAATCGGCACCTGACAACGAGTATCTAAATCCCACTGCCAGACAGCCAGTCCCTGGTGGGGCCCAGAGCAGCTTCCCCACCATGGAGTCACTGGATGCTGCCACTCTCCTCTCCCGATCCACGCCGACTCCGCTGAAACCCAGCTGCGCCACAGCCGGGAGGCTACATGGCAGGACTGTCTCGTGCTCTGACACTGAGTCCAGGAACCACCTTGAGGAAGGTGTCCCCACAAGTGTGCTGCGGGGCCCAGGGAGGGGCCTCCCTGTGGAGCTGAGAGCCACAGAGTGAAGCAAAGGGCCCCACGAGGATGGCAATGCCCACTGCCTACCGATGTCACCCCAGTCTGGAGCCAACCCACTGGCTAAGCCACCGGGATGGGAATGCTCCCGCTCCCTCCCTTCGCCAGTGCGGCAGGACCTAGGGCAAGGGCCTCTTCACTGCAAAGGAGATCAACACAGACCGCCTCAACTTTGCAGGCGCTTTGCAGGCGCTCTGCCGGGTGCACGCTCTTTTCTCTCACCTTTCAGGACACCACATTCTCACACAAGCTGGAGAACCTGCTGGTTCGCAATCCTTCAGGCCACACTCGTGTTTCGGACATTACAAGTGACCCCATCATCAGACCCCACTCACCCGGCAGCACCCTCGATGGACTCCATCAGCACCAGGAAGGCTTGGTCAGCAGGGCCCTCCAGGAAAAAGCTGGCCCACAGGTCCTCCAGCTGGCCGTCGGGCAGAAGCTCCAGCCAGCCTGGGCTCAGCCTACCCACTAGACATCGGAGAACGGCGGGAAAGTGCATCCTGGCAAACTCCTCCTGCTCCCCGGGAAGGGCTGAGTTCTCTGCTCCACTGAGATACCGTTTCAGGGCCCCCAGGGTGGAAAGGAGGTGGCCGCCATCCTCAGAAGAGGAAAGGGTATGAAGTGCTTCCCGGACGGTGAGCGTGACTGCAGACTGCGCTGGATCCATCCTGGAGGCCACAGGACAAGCACGCGAGAAGTCCACGGAGCCCTTGGTACCCACGCGGGCCCGGTCTCAGAACCCCCGCCCTCTGGCCCCTCTTGTTAAGCTTCTGGGGACCCCAGTCTCTCCTCACCCCTGCTGTTGTCCAGCAGTATCCCCCCCTCCAGCATCTACCAAGTCTGTTCACAGCTTGGTACCCTCTACCGTAGGGCACTGTGCCCCAGGGTCACAAGTGGGGTGCTATTGGCATCTAGTGAGTGGGTGGTAGAACCCAGACATGCTGGTAAATGTCCTCTATGTGCAGGACAGCGCCCACAGCAGAGGCTTATCCAAACCTAGATGTCAGCAGTGCTGGGGCTGGGAGACCCTGGACTACAGGCGTGCGATCACTTCTAACTCCCTGAGGCATCACCCATCTGCCAAACTCCCTTCTCTCCCAGAAACCAAAATCATCTGTGCTCATATTGGGGGTCAGGTGCCCCTGCAGGGTTGAGTACCATTAGGTAGGCACCTATCACCAGTGCACCCAGCCACTAAATAAGGCTGCATCAGGGGCCCAAGAAGAATCCCCACGAGCCGCCTCCCCACCCAGCCGGGTCTACGCGGGCTCGGATGCGCAGGCCGGATAACACGCCAGCGACCAACCCATCCCACGCTTCCTTGCCCAGCGTGCGCGGAGCGTGCGCGGGGAGTCCACATGGTGGCGCGGCAGGCAGAGGCCTCGTGGGGCGGGCAGGGGACCTCGGGTGACGGGAGGGGGTCTCCGGGGCGGGCGGAGGTCTGGAGACGGGAGAGGGTCTCGGGGCGAGCGGGGGTCTCGGGGGACGGGAGAGGGTCTGTGGGACCGGCGGAGGTCTGGGGACGGGAGAGGGTCTCGGGGTGGGCGGGGGCCTGGGGAGCGACGGGCGGGGGTCTCGGGGAGGCGCGCACCCACTCGGTCCCGGAGTCTCGCCGGCGCGCTCACGGGCAGCCCCGCCGCTACCACCCCTCCGCCGATTCGCCCCGGCCGCCGAGGCCCAGCTCCGCACGCGGTTCGCGGACTAGAGCGTGAGACCGCGGAGCACGAGCTCCCCGTGCGTTGGCAGAGCTGCCGCTGAATTTTTCGAGTCTGTGGGGCCGGACCCCGCGGGCAGATCGCGACGAATCTGCCGCGAAGCCCGGGACCCGGAAGAGGCGTGGGGCGGGCGGCCGCATCTGCGCCTGCGCCGAGTGGGGGCGTGACCCTGGGTGGGTGGGTGGAGCCCTGGGTGGGCGGGGCCGACAGGGGTAGGCGCAACACCGTTCCACGCGGGGTCGCCAGCCGCAAGTGGCCGTGAAAATTGGCCGAAATCCAGTTCCTTGGTGACCACTTTCCAAGGGCTGCTCTTAACCCTGGCGCATATGCGGTGGGCAGCGTCGGGGGTGATCTGGGAAGACCTCAGGGAGGTGCCGCTTCCGCCTCGACTACCCTTGCGGGGAAATCTGGGAAGCATGCGTTAGCTCAGCATGCACTCATTAAATGCCTGCTGCGTACAGCAAGCACTCCTCCAGGGCGGAGAGTGAAGCCGATCAAGTCCTGGCTCACAAATCAGGGGCACAAATGAAGTACAGGAGCGAGAGGTCCGATGGCAAAGAGTGATAAGAAAAATTGGGCAGTGGGCGCCTGCGTGGCTCAGTCGGTTGAGCGTGGGACTCTTGATTTCGGCTGAGGTCGTGATCTCAGGGTCGTGGGACAGGGCCCGGGGTGGGGCTCCGCGCTGGCCGGCCGGGAGTCAGCTGGAGATTCTCTGTTCTCTCCTTGTCTCCCTCTGCCCTCCGCCCCCCTTCGCGCGTGCGCGCGCTCTCGCTCTCTCTCAAATAAACACATAAAAATCTTAAAAAAAAAAACAAAAATGAGGCAGGCTGAGGAGTCTCGTTTTGGAATTCCCGCCCTGGGTGCAGGCAGGAGAACGGGCGGTAGAGGGCAGACGCGGGCGCAGGGAGCGCAGGTGAGCGGCTAGTGCCTCCCAGGTGTGGGCCTGGCGGGGAGGAGGGCTGGCCTGGGATGCTCCCGAGGGATGTGGGCTGGGACAGGATGCGGGGAGTCCAGGAGGATGCCTTCCTGGGACTCCGGGAACTCCTCCCAGTCCGCTTCTGGATGAGAGCCTCGCTCTCCACTTCCTACAGCAGCTTCGTTCGACCTTGACCCGCTGTTTTCCCCAAGCCTGTCAGGCTACTAGGTGCTTCCTGAAGCACGGAAGATAAGCCTCTTAAGCCTTCACGTGTCTGAAAAATGTCTTTGTTCTTTGCTCCAGGCAGGTTCACATTTGAGCTAAATGGACAATTTTCATTGGAAATTATTTTCACTTGGAGATGTGAAGGTTTGCTCCTCTATTTTTGGCAGCCAGCGTTCAGTTCTCTGAGGAGAGTCTCAGTCTTTCCCATTGAGCAGGTTTTTCCTCTGTGGACACTTCTAGAATCTTCTCCGCCTCCATGGGGTTCTGACACTTGAGGAGACACCTGGCCCTCTCTGGTGCGCCGTCTTGAGACAGACAGATGCCCTTGACTGTGACACCTTCCCAGACTATCTTCCCATTTTTCAGTCTCACTCTCTGCGCTTGCTTTTCATTGGATTGACCTCGAAGGCCATGTTTTCTTTCTCTCTCTCTTTTTTTCATCTCTTTGTCTTTTTGCCCTACTTTCTGGGCAATTGCTTAAAACTTGCCTTTCAGCTTTCTTGATTTAATTATTTGGAAAATCCTCGTTTTCATCCTTTTTTTTTTTTAAAAAAGATTTTATTTATTTATTTGACAGAGAGAGACATAGTGAGAGCAGGAACACAAGCAGGGGGAGTAGGAGAGGGAGAAGCAGGCCTCCCGCGGAGCAGGGAGCCCGATATGGGACTCGATCCCAGGACCCTGGGATCATGACCTGAGCCAAAGGCAGACGCTTAACGACTGAGCCACCCAGGCGCCCTATTTGGAAAATCCTCGTTTTCATCCTTCAAGAGCAACTTCTTCCTTGTTGATTTTTCCTTTTCTCATAACATCCATGTTTTTGCCTTGCGGACACAAAGCTTTTCTTGTCTTTCTGGGAGTAGGAATTAAGATGCTTTAGAGCTTTTCCTTGGCTCTCTGCATTTTCCTGTTTGGGCAGATTTCTGTCAGAGGCTCCCGTGTATAGAGATCCTTCGCTTAGCCTTCATATTAAGCATGAGACAGTCAAGGGCAAGAAGCTCTGTATGTGGATGAGGGGAACTTGTTTTGACAGATGGGGGAAAGGACGCTCTTGTTTTTCCCCAAGGCTAAAGAAGCTCCCACCCTCCTCCTACCTGGGGCTGTGGCTTCTCCTTTCTGGAAGCTGGCAGAATCCTCAGAGTCCCACAATTCAATGTGCAGACCTTTATCTCATCTCTTTCTTTTTCTTAAGTTAGTTTATTTATTTAAAGTAGGCTCAGGGCGCCTGGGTGGCTCAGTTGGTTAAGCGACTGCCTTCAGCTCAGGTCATGATCCCAGGGTCCTGGGATCAAGTCCCACATCAGGCTTCCCCTGCTCTGCAGGGAGCCTGCTTCTCCCTCTGCCTCTGCCTGCCACTCCCCTGCTTGTGCTCTCTCTCTCTCTCTCTGTCAAATAAATAAATAAAATCTTTAAAAAAATAGAGTAGGCTCCATGGCCAGTGTGGGGCTTGAACTCATAACCCTGAAATGAAGAGTCACACACTATACCAACTGAGCCAGCCAGGTGTCCCTGTGGACATTTCAATAACTCGCTTTTAGCGTTACCTTTTAAAAAAGTGAATTTTGTTATATGTATAATTTCCACTAAAATTCTTCTTTCAAAAAGAACAGATGTTGGAGATTGGGGGAAAGTCACCTGTCTCAGTGCATACCTGCACACAGCTACATGCCCAGTCTCTCTCCAGGGCAATGCTGTCCAATTAAAATAGGATGTGAGCCCCATATGTGATGTTAAATTTTCTAGTGGCGGTAGTAAAAAAGCGAAAAGAAACAGGTGAAGTTAATTTTAATTTTATATGTGTATATGGGTTTTGTTTTGTTTTTTTTTTTTTGAGTAGCCTCCACACCCAACACGGCACTTGAACTCATGACCCCAAGATCAAGAGTTGCACACTCCACAGACTGAGCCAGCCAGGCGCCCCAATAATATATTTTATTTAACCCAATCAACCCAGAATGTTACCATTTCGACATGTAGTCCTGTACAATGTATGATGATTAGTGAGATATTTTACATTCCTTTTTTGTACTAAGCTTTGTAATCCAGTGTGCATTATGTCTGTGGTGGATCTCAATTCAGGCCAGTCACATGGCAGGGGTTCAGCTGCCCACATGGCGCAGGGAAGGGGGGTCCCCAGAGAGCCAGCTGACCACATCCTGTGGCGGGGCTGGTGAACAGAGTGTTCACCAGCTGCAGGAGGTCAAGGAGGCCCTGGGGACCCAGCAGCTTTCTATCCAGATTCACATGAGTCCCTTCACTCAAGTCTGTGCCGTGCCCCAGCCTCTCAAACCTCTCTGTAATAAGCTGAATGGTGGTTCCCAAAAAGTAGGTCCAAGTCCTAAGCCCACATACGTGAATGAAAGCTTTTTCAGAGCCTTGGGGAGGAGAGGAAGGAGCAGGGCCCTAGGACACGGAGCTCCAGGACTGCAAGAGAATAAACTTGTTTTTGTTTTTGTTTTTTTTAAAGATTTATTTTTTTGACAGAGAGAGACACAGTGAGAGAGGGAACACAAGCAGGGGGAGTGGGAGAGGGAGAAGCAGGCTCCCCGCGGAGCAGGAAGCCCGATGCGGGGCTCGATCCCAGGACCCTGGGATCATGACCTGAGCCGAAGGCAGACGCTTAATGACTGAGCCACCCAGGCGCCCCTGAGAATAAACTTATTGTTTTAGGCTTCCCCATGGGGGTCACTGGTTACGGCAACCCAGCCATGGTCTAAGTAAGTGGGGCAGGCGGGACCTCATCCCAGGACCGCTGCAGGGACCATGACGCAGGGAGGGAGCAGGATAAAACCAGAGTCAGTTAAATAGCCCTGCATGGCTCCTCTCCCCCAGGTGCCACTTCAATGGCAGCAGAAGGACAAAGGTGAAGGAGCCCAGGGCCAAGGAGAGTGCAAGGGCCTAGGAGAGCGCAAGGGGAGGGAGGCAGCAGCGGGATGCAGGGATCCAGTGTGGCCTGGGAGAGTGACTGGTCAAGGGTGGAGCAGGGGGAACTGCGGAGAGAGCCCCCAAGGGGAGGAAGGGAGTCAGTGTCCCCAGGCCACAACCAATGACCTGTAACTAATGCAGCTCCAAGGTCAGCATGTTCTGGGTGCTGCTCCCCAAGGCTCCAGGGAGGACCCCTCCTGCCTCGTCCAGCTCCTGGCTCTCCCTGTGCCCGCATCACCCCAGTCTCTGCCTCTGTCTTCCCACGGCCTTCTCCTCTGTGTCTGTCTCTTGTAAGGACACCCTAACTATCAGCATGGTCTCCTCTCAAGATCCTTAATGATGTCTGCAAGGGCCTTTTTTCCAAATAAACTCACATCACAGGTACAGGGGAATTCACGGGGTTAGGACTTGGACTTACCATTTTGAGGCCACCATTCAGCCCACCATACAACCTATACCCCAAAACAAATTAAGGTGGCCCCCAACCCCATTTCCTTTGCCTTACCTGAGGGAGAGAGGTGGGCCTCACAGGCCCCTCCGTGCAGGGCCAGCACGCTGGGCCCCACAGCAGACTTGGCTCCAGGGGCTCCCTGGCCCTGGCCCGGCCCCATCCAGCTCCCTGAGGTGGGAGCTGAGTCCATGTGCCCCTGCTAAAGCAATCACCGTCTGCCTCTGAGCCAGCCAGGCTGCGGCTCGAACCCGGAATTATTTTCCAGAGAAACTGTTTGCATCTGTTTTAAGCTTGTGTCCTTGGGAACCTCCAGCTCTCCAGAGCTCACTGACTGGAGGGCAGATGCTTTTCATTAAGGTGGCAGGAAGCACCTGACTCCCAGGCAGGGCGGGAGAAGGAAAGCTGGGAGGGCTGTGTGGGAACAAGCAGCGCAAAGCCAACAGCCCTCTCCGCATCCTCATGATGGGCTGCCCGCGGAGGAAGGCCCTGTCTCTCCTTATTTTTGTGCCTGCCTGTCTGCATGGGGCTTTGTTGCAGGACTACAGCCCTGCAGGGCAAAGGAAACCATTTCTCGAGAGGCTCCGCAGACTGGAAGGGCAGGTGAGTGTAGCCAGCACCTGGGGCAGCTGTGTGTTAAATTCAACAGCCGACACGGAAACAGAGCAGTAAGAGTCCTGCTCTGGGGATGCAAACACGGAGTGCGGGGTTCTTTCCATCAGTGACTCTACGGTCCCTTACAGGGGCAACCAGCAGAGAAGGTCTGTTGGGCTGTTAGGAAGTCCAGCCAACTGACAGTGAGGACAGGGTGGGAGTCGGGCCGGGCGGTGGTGTGGGAAGCCCCGAGAGGGCTGCAGGAGGGGTGCTGGGGCGTCTGGGCACGGGGTTGGGAGCTCTCTGCAGGCTCGGCCTGCTTTGATCCCCACAAACCACTCACGAAGCCCACTCTGCCCTACGTCCACTCAGGCAGGACCCTGAGCGTCACAGGGGTGAGGTGTGGGAGGCGCGAGAGGCATGGGGGTCGTGGGGGAGATGGGGGCCTGAAGCCCACACCCCACAGAGTGGGCGTCTCTGAGCGAGGCCGCCGTGGGGCTGGGTGTGGTCATGGGCCCACCCCTCGCGCAGCCGCCTGGGGATCAAGTCAGTGTGGATGGTGGTCAGTGCGCGACAGGCACCCAGAAGCGTGAGCGGGAAGGCTTGTCCCGCATCCTCCGGGCCCTCTGTGTCTCTCTCTAGTTCCAGAGGCTCCAAGAGGTGACCTTAACACACCTGCGAGTCCTTGCCCGTAACTACAACCTGTCCTACGGTATCGATGCTCGGTTCCAGAGCCTGGTGCATGAGACCCAGGCCGTGGCTCTGGCCGTGAACCAGTCGCAGGCCGCCATGCAGGGCGACCTGAGCCACCTCAAGACCTGAATGCAGAAGACCCAGCGCAGAAGCTGGAAGGTGGAGTCCAGGCTGCTGGCCTTGGGTGCTGCGCTGAGTGAAAGGGGCAAGCAGCGCACCCAGGAGGGGAAGGAGCCGCAGGTGCAGAGGGGTGCCCTCTCCGGCCTGGCCCCGGACCTGAGGGCCCTGCAGGACACGCTCGCTCGCCTCACACACCTCGTGCAGGGCCAGGGCGCCAGGCTGGCTGCTCTCAAGGGCCGGCTGCAGGTGGCCTGCCCTGGCACCATGGCCCCAGGGCTGACCCCGGGCCGGCCCCCGACCCCACCTGGGCTGCCGAGCTCCAGCTCCCCAACGCTGCAGAGGGGAAGGCAGGCGCTCAGGCCTTCACCTGAGACTGGGGACCCACCTCAGGACTCTGCCAGTGGTCTCCAGGGGACTCGGGCGCTCCCCGGCCCGGGCAGCCAGCGGGCTTGGCCCCCCGAGAGACCAGGAGAGAATAAATACCATGGCCTGCCCTTACTCCGTCGGCCTCGCCTCTCCCCTCTCCCACCTCCTCAGGCCTCTGGTCCCCTCTGGACAGCCTTCTCCCCCAAGCTGTGTGGAGAGGACACTGGCTTCACAGCCCTGTGCACCCCCAGAAGAAAGGGGGGCGTGCAGGTGATGGCCTGTCTTCGGCCCCCCCCGGCACCCTGGGGTGGGTGTGCACAGACGTCGGGTGCTGCCGGGGGGGTCCCCAACTCCCACTTGGTGACCCCTCTCATTAGGGCTGGTGGGATAATACGACGCGTCCCCAGCCATCGCCCGCATGAGTCTCCTGTGCTGGCCCTAGATTCTGACGGGGTCCCTGAGGGGAAGAGAGGGGCTGGGAGCCCTCCATCCTTGGGTCCAGTAGGCTAACGGGTTAGAGATGCAGGTCCCCAGCCTGCCGATTGGGACCTTGGACCTCACCCCACCCCATGGACCCCTCTGTCAGGTAGACCTGAAGGGGCATGGCCCCAAAGACATTCACATCCTGACCCCTGGGCCCTGTGGATGCGGCCCCTCACGCGGCAAGGGGACTTTCTGGCTGTGATTACGGACTGTGAGACGGGAGGGGAGCTGGAACTGACACCGGGGCGAGGCAGGAAGGTCAGAGAAGCAGCTGTGAGCTCAGGGACAGAGGTTAGAGGGACGCACTTTGAAGACACAGGCGGGGCCGCGATCCATGAGCAGGGGGCGTCTCTGGAAGCTGACAGGGCAGGAGAGGATTCTCCCTGGGGCCTCCAGAGGGAGCCAGCCCCGCATCCACCATGATTTTCATCAGGGGACCCGGGTCTGGCTTTTGACCTCCAGAACTGGAAGATACTCGATTCGTGTTGTTTGGAGCCTCTGAGTGTGTGGGGCTTCGTGATGGCAGCCCCAGGAGGCTCACGCCGGGGGTCCCGCTGCTGTGGGGCGTGTCCAGAGGCTCACTCCCGCCGAGGTGTAAGACTGCGCGGGCTCCCAGTCTTCCCACCTGTAGGATGGGCTGATGGTGCAGCAAGGACCCATGGCACCCTGCACGGCCAGCCTCACAGTGCTGACTCAGCCACGGGGTCTGAAGCCCATGCCCGGGAGCGGTGTGGACACTCCTGCCGCCGCCTGGTGCTGGGGCTGACTCTCCCCCTGTTTCCAGCCTGTGACGTGGGCCCCGCGCTGGTCTTCCCGAACACCTCCACCCGGAACGCCGCCTTCCTCAGCCCCGGCTTCCCGTCAGGCCTGCAAGCCCTATCTGTCTGCAGCTGGGTGCGCACGGCCTCGGGCCGCCTGGGCACCCTGCTCTTCTACGCCATGGAGGAGAATGACAACAAGCTTGTGCTGCACGGCAGGGACTCCCTGGCCCCGGGCTCCATCCACTTCGTGATCGGAGACCCGGCCTTCAGGGAGCTGCCCCTGCAGCCGCTGCTGGACGGCCGGTGGAACCATGTGTGTGTCATCTGGATGTCCACCCTGGGCAGATACTGGCTGTACGTGGACCGCAGCCTCGTGGCCACCGGCTCCCACTTCAGGGAGGGCTATGAGATCCCTGCAGGAGGGTCCCTCGTGCTGGGCCAGGAGCAGGACAGCATGGGGGGCGGGTTTGACAGCTCTGAAGCCTTCGTGGGCAGCATAGCAGGCCTGGCCATTTGGGACCGGGCACTGGTCCCCGGGGAGGTCGCAAAACTGGCCACCGGGAGGGAGGTCCCCGGGGGCGCCATCCTGACGCTGGACAATGCCCAGTGGGGAGGCGGATACGTGCAGAGGGTGAACTGCAGCTGCTTGGAGCTCTGCCCCTGAGGCCCTGTGCCCTGAGCCCGGCAGGAACAGCCTCAGCAGCCTTTGGCCACCGCTGATCCCAGCACACCCCCGTCCAGGGCCCCCTCCCGCACTGGGGAGGGGACAGGGCAGTGTGGGCAGGAGGGAGCGGGCCGACAGGTGGAGTGGGGCTGTGGGAGGCCCTGTGGGCTATGACGCCGTTCCAGCCCAGCGAGCACAGGACTCCGGTGGGGCCTCTCGTCTGGGCTGGGTTTGCTGATGGAGAACCCCGTTTTCGTAGAACCTGGGTGGGTGCATTTGAACTGCCATGGTCCTCTCTCGAGGTGGCTTAGAAAGTGTCCGTCTGGGTGGTCCTTGTTCCCATATCCCTCATGAAAAGGGCCAGGAACCCATTTCCTGCCCTGAAGTTCCAGCAGTGCCAGAGCCAGTGAAGGGAGCAAGCTATTCAGAAACACACACGAGCAACCGACGGCACTGCTTTCAAAGTAACCTTGTTGGGGTTTTATCAGAGCAGGTGTTACAACGCTCATCCGCAATGCATGTCCAATGCAAAGATGGTTAGCGAATTTACTGAGCTGTGCAACCATCACCACAGTCCAGTTTTAGGGTGTTTCCATGTCCCTGCCCTCCCAAATCATGCCCGTTAGCGGTTGCTCCTGTCCCCCCAGCTCCAGCAAACCCTGACCGGCTCTCTGGGCGGATTGGCCCGTTCTGGACGTTGGACATCTCACCTAAAGGAATCACACACCGCGGGGTCTCAAGTCTGCTTCTGTCGCCAAGCGGCGCGCTCCCCAGCCCCGCGGACGTGCCCGCACACCAGGGCCCCCGTCCTCTGGGCGCTAGGCGCCACCCTGCCGGGATGCACCCCACGCTGCTATCCGTTCATCCACTTCCAGTCTCTAGCTTCTGTGAATAAAGCTGCTCCGAGCATTGTCATATGAGTCCTTGTGCAGACACGGGTTGCTGTTTCCCTTGAGCGGGTGCCTGTGAGTAGAATTTCTGGGTCGCATGGTGAACTCACGTCTGAACTTTCAAAGAAACGCCCAAACCGGTTTCCAGAGTGGCTACCGCCCTCTCTGTTCCCACGCCCCGCCAGCACGCGCGCTCCCGCTTCTCGTGTTCTTGCCAAGGCTAGATGTCGTCTGTCTGAGGATGTTTATTTTTACTCTTCTGAACCGTGGCCCCTAAAAGAACAGGCACGGACAGGAGGGGTGTTAAGTTTCAGTGTGATGGAAACGAACCCCTACCTTATCGGGGATTCCCAAGGAGGAACCAAACAGACAATCAGGAAGGAGTCTGGGAAGACAGGAGGAGAGGGTGTTGCAGGGGGGAACCCACACGTGGGAGAGGTGAGGAATCCCTGAGTTCAGAAACAGGCTCAGTTCTTAGAATTCCCCCTGCTTTTTTTTAAAGATTTATTTATGTATTTATTTGAGAGAGAGCAAGAGAGAGAGAATGCGTGTGCACGAGAGCTTGGGGAAGGGCAGAGGGAGAGAGAGAATCTCAAGCAGACTCACGGCAGAGCACCCCATGGGTGGGGGGGGCACTCGATCTCCCGACCCTGAGACCATGACCTGAGCTGAAATCAAAGGTCAGACGGGACTCTTAACCACCTGAGCCCTCCAGGAGCCCCTCCCCCCACTTTAAAAGTGGGAACACAAGCTGGAGAAGCCCCATGCCCTCACCAGCCCTCACCAGCCCGCACCGCCCGGCCTCCGCGAGGGGCCCTGGTTTCATCCTGCAGCTGCCCCGGGAGTGGGGGGTGGGAGAGTGCTCTAAATGACTCCCTCCACCTTTTAGGGCATTCTCATCTCTGCAGCGCTGTGACCCCAGCAATCCAGGGCCCTCCACCCACAGACTCAGCGTGGCTGCTTTCCCTAGGAGTCAAGGTCAGAGGAGACATTCTAGAACCGAAATCCCCAAGTGGCCACAGGGACGCTCCCTGAGTCACTGACTTCTACTTTTCCTTGCACTTCCCCAGGGCACGTGCACCTTCAGGGACAGCGGCTCCTTCTCGGGCTCTTCCTTCCTGGGCACCTGGGGCTTTTTCGGGGGCTCTTGCTCAGTCCTCCCCCCATGAGGAGGAGGGATGATATGCTGCTTTAGGGGAGACTGGTAATCTGACTACTATTTCTTCAGCAACAGCAGATCCCCAGCATAGAAAGACCACACAGGGTATTATCTCTGGCCCCTCCCCTTTTTTGAGCTTATAATGCCTAGGGGACCCAGGATGGCCCTCCATTCATAGCAGCAATCCCCTACAAGTCCACAGACCCTAACGCCACAGGAATAGGGCAGAGAAGACAGCATCACCGCGGGCGGCCACATCCACATTCGGGAAGCTTCATGGGCAGTGGGATTCCAGGAGAGTGGAGCGGCCTGGGGAACGGCTTGGAGTCAGGGCTGAGACAGCTTCAGGGAGGGCTCTGGTCACTAAGAATTTGGTCTGAGCTCTGTCCAGCAGGACAAGGGAAGCCATGCAGGGTTTGAAGCAGGACAGTCTGAACACGAATCTCATGCGATCGGCCACCCCCATGGGGTCAGTGACAAAGCCCCCCCCCCCATGCATTCTGAAGCATGAGCCACCTGCAATCCATCAAACCCCACCTATGACCCGAGTTTGTTGTGTTTCTGGGTAAGGACAACATGACCCAGAGATGCCCTTCTCATGCTATGGGGACCGGGGCCTGGCAAGAAGCTGGGGCTGGTTTCTCCCTTCCCCACCCTGCCTGCTTGTCCTCCAGAAAGGCCACTGGTCCAGCACAAGTACAATCAGGCACCTCATCTGTCTGACAGCGTTGTCCTGCTGGGCCACAGAGATGCCCCTTGACCTCCAGCAGGACCCATGGACTGCCCTCACTTCTCTATCACTGGATGTCTTCACAGGAACCCCATTATCCAGTCCACTCAGTCTACACACACCCAGCCCTAGCCCCAGCCCTGCCTGCGCTTCATGCCCATGTGCCGGGCCACAACCCAGGGGCCATCACGCCGCTCTGGTCCATCACTCGAAAGGGCAAAGCCAGATGACACAAATGAGAAAACACCCTTTTTTGAAAGCATGTTGTTCTTAGAATTTCCAAAACACTGCACAGTCATTGTGGGGAAAATTCAAAACCCTGTCCAACTTCTCTTATTTTAGTTTTAGTTCTGATTTTGAGTTGTGTGGAGGGAGGGGCTCTGTTAACTTCTCAGCCTCAGAGCCTCTAAAACACTTTGTAAATCTTTTCCTTTTGAAAAGTTTCCCAGCCGAAAAACAGAAGTTGCAAGACGAACACATTGCAGGTCATACACGTTGGGCCTAGACTGACCACGTTGGCCTTGGGCCACATCTGCTCCCCTCTGTCGCTGGCTCCCTGCCCCCATGATAAGGCAACTACACACATCACAGCCCATCCACCTGCATGCACCGTTTGTCTCCTGAGAACAAGGACCTTTCCTGCGGTCACCCCAGGACAATGCTCAGCCCTGGGCGGGGAACCCAGCAATCCCACCACCCAGCCCAGTGCATGCCCAAGCTTTGCCAGTTGTCCCAGCGAGGCCAGAGCCGCCAGGAGCCTTCAGCTGTCCTGTCCCTTCAATCCCGTCCCAGAGGGCAGTCCTGGCCCTTCGTGGCCGAACAGAGCGCCTCGCAGTTTAGCCGATGTCCCTCAGTTTGGGTGCGTGTGTGATTCCCCCGCTGGTGAGGACACTTGGCGAAGCAGCTTCTGCAGCAATGCCCCAGGAGCCTCGTGTGTCCTCCTCGGCATGTCCTCCTCAGCACAAGCCCCGGGCAGGCCCGGGCGGTGCTCAGCCTGTCCTGGGCTCCAGGGGCTTCCACCTGACTTCCAAGATTCCTTCCCTTTCCTCGTTATCGGTAACCCTCGGAGATACCGAGACCGCGCACGGGCCCGCGCGCAGCAGACCTGTCCAGACGGCGGAGCACGCGCCTGCGACCAATCATTCCTCCCGCGGCGGCCAGGCGGCCAGGTGTCCACCCGCCCTTCCTCCCGCGCCGACTGGTCGGTCTCCACCTGCTCCAGGAGGGGCTGCCTGCCCGCCCTCCTCCCCCTTCCTCCTGTTCCGTCCGCGCGGAACCCGGCTCCCTTCTCCGTTCCTGCCTCGATCCGTTCTCGGGGACTGGGTCCCCGCTGGTCACCCGAGTGGCCGCGGAGCCCCCTCCGCCCAGAGGGCGCCCGGCGCGGGACTACAACTCCCAGAAGGGCCCCGCGCGCACGAGTCTGCGCGGCCGCCGCCGTGCGTCACGTGGCCCGTCCTCGTGGGTCACGTGGCCGCGGCGCGGGTCACGAGAACAAACACCGGGCCGCCGCGCTTCTCGGGCCGGTCGGTCCGTAGCGGGCCATGGCCAACGTGTCTAAGAAGGTGTCGTGGTCCGGCCGCGACCTGGACGACGACGAGGCGGCGCCTCTGCTGCGGAGGACGGCGCGGCCCGGGGCGCCGGCCGGCGAGAGCACGCCGCTGTTGAACGGAGCCGGGCCGGCGGCCGCCCGTCAGGTGAGGCCCGTCCGCCAGGAGAGCCCCGGCCCGCGCCTCAGTCTCCCCGCCGCCGGGAGCCGGCGTCGACGTGGCGGGCGGGGGGCGGGCCTTCCCCGCCACTCCGACTCGGGAGTCAGTGGCTCTGGCAGGCGGAGGGTCGCTCACTCGCCGGTGGCTGGCCCTGTGCCTGGCGGGTGCTGACCGGCGCATTGGTGTTTCCATCGCTCCCCCCGTCCCCCGGTGAAGAGGAGGGAATTGAGCCGCGGACGGGTGCGGGAACGTGCCCCGGGTCTTCCTTGGCAGATGGCATTTGCTGGCATCGGAACCTAGGCCCTGGGGTTCTGGAGTCTTGGGAGGAAGCTCTGGGCCGGGTGACTGGTGGGGTTCGAGGAGCAGGCCGAGCTCACCATGACACTGTTTTCTGAGCGCGCACGAGCTTCCGCCTGCCGAGTTTTCTCTTGCAGTGTGGGGCTCTGTGGGCCACTCTTCTCTGCAGGGATGGGTACAGGGCGATCTTAGAAATGACAGGTATTTGCACCCAGTTTTCCTTACCAACTAAATGAAATGAGAGCGTGCAGACAGACGCTGTAAGCAACAAGTCAGAGTGGTTGCCGTGTGTTCGCATTAGCGATGCGGTTTGCGTCTTTGCATGCACGTATGTGTGTTGTGTTCATTTTGATTTCATGAGCTGTTTTTATGCGTTGTTTGGTCTTATTCTATTTTTGGTATTTGTTCTTCTGTTGTTCAGTATCTGTCCTTTAAACGTTAGAACGGTCCTTAAAAATTAGGAAGGACACAAACGTCAGGCTGTTTCTGTAGGGCTTATCTTCAGGTTCCCCCAGTCCCTTGGAAACGCATCAGAGTGAAAGTGCAAGTCTGCTTTTTGAGTGAAATTTTGTCCCGAAATGCTCTGCGTCTACATGAGATGTGATCTGAAATGGCTAATTTGGAGGGGAGCCTTAAGGGTGCTTTGTTATTTTCTTCTTGGAACATTATTTTTTCCCTTTAAAAGAAAGTAACCTGGGGTCTACCAAATGGAATTGTAAAACTGGCTTTAAGGGTCGTCAGGTAAAGAGACTGGAAACGGTAAGGTGGAATTTGGGTTTATCTCAGGACTGAATGTGCGTTTCCCACTTCTCTTGCAAGTAGACACGGGTGTTGGGTTTAAGAAGAGCCTTTTGAACTCTTAAAAAAAATCAGTCTTAAAAAAATGTTTGCAACTTTATTGTTTATTTGTGTTTAGCAACACCTGACTAGTTTCTCTTAAGCAATTAAAAAAGAATTATTATGCACCTACTGTGTGCCCAGCTGCATGCAATTTGCCTGGAACACGGGAGCAGAAGCAGCTTCCTTCCTACTGGATGTAGGCTCGTGGAGAAACACGCTTGGTGCTCTGTGAAGACTGTGTGAGGGGCCCCAAGGGCAGGAGAGGTCCCATTTGGGTCCAGTCTTGAGGAGTGCAAGACCCTCAGGGGGGCAATAGGTGGGAAAGGATGGAGAGTGTGTTTGAGATCCTCTTTGAGTTTGGAAAGTAGATCGGAGTGGGGAGAGAGGCGGGTCAGACCTGTAAGGGGCAGCTGCTGCCTTTGAATTTGGCTTTACTTCAGGGAGAGTTCTGCAGGAAGCTGGAGATTTCAGTCTTCAAAGATCGTAGCCCGCCTTGTGCGGACCGGTGGCAAGGGGGAGACCGCTCCGCACCCCAGGAGGCAAGCCCCATGGCCTCTTCTGCTTCAGGGTCCTCCCTGCAGAAAGGTGAATGTGTGTGCTGTGCTGAGCAGTGCCTGTCCCAGCTGGTGGACAGTAGGCACTCTCAGTGGATTAGTGTTGGAAAGAGCAGCACGAAAGCAACTGTCATTGGGTTATCATTCATGGGGTGACTCCGCTGGCCACTGACGGGATTCCTTGATGCCGGCTTTCTTGTGGGGAAGGTCTGCTTTGGGTCCGCAGGCTGAGTTCAGCGCTAGGCTCTGCAGCAGATGGTGGCCTGTAAGCTGCTGTCAGTCTGGGGCTATTTGAACTAAAATGACAGCCCGGACCAACAACCACCCTACAGGAACGTTCTAGTGAATCAGACGTGGGAGCTCATGGCCACCTCCCGGCCCTTTGGGGTTTGTTGCATCGTGTCCAGAGTTGGATGGTGGTGGTGGTGGTGGTGTGAGCAGAGCCTGCCGAGCTCCTGAAGTAGCTGCTCTGGGCAGCGTGTGCCACGTGGCTACCCTGCCAGGCTGCTAAGTGCCAGGGGGGAGTAGGCACAGCCCCCGGCAGGATACACTGGTGACTGGCCTGAGCTCAGCCTCCATCTTCCCGGGAGCAGGCTGTTGAGAGCCACCTGTTGGTCGCTGTTCCCTTTGTCAGGCCCCTGGGCCGGTCGTGCTGGAGTGTGAGGTGATGGTGAGTTACCAGCGAGTCACTGCCATTCTCCCACTGGGACAAGGAGGGGGTGAGGTCAGCCAGCAAGTCATGGTCATGTGTGTGGGCAGTGGGAAGCGGAGCATTTCGAGAACTTATACAGGGAACTTTGAGGCGGAAACAGATGCTCCAGAGGTGGAGGGGTGGGGTATTTGCAGTGTTTGTAAATGCAGGACATTTCCAGGGACCTCGGCTTTAGGAAGCTCCACCTGAGACACCTTGGGGCCGGGGGAGGGTGGGGGAGGCAGGCGGGTGTAGGACTCTCAGGTTAGTGTTTAGAGTCAGTTCTACAGATCTTGTTTCTCTGGGAACTGGGTTACCTCTGTGTCTTGCCTTGACGGCTGGAGCCACAGACCACAGCCTGAGAGTGTCAGGGTCACGGAAGGGGTGCTCAGGGGTGGGTCATCTGTTGTCCTCACTGGCCCCTTGAGTTCTCTACAATAAGTGAGCACCCCGTCTTTCTCCTAGGTGGCTCTTAGCACCAGGCTCAGCTCTTCCTGGAAGTTCCTCTGCCTTAGTATCCTTGACCTGCTCTCCTCCCTCTCTGTCTGCCTACCCACAGCCTCACTTTGTAGGGTTCAGGCTGGCTGCTGCAGTGCCCTCCCTGAGGGTTCCCCAGATCTGTGTCCCTCCTGCCTTCAGTACCACCTGTGCAGGGTCAGTGGGGGTGGGACAGACCACCGCCTGCAGTAGGGGCGTAGACTTGAGAGCTGAGGGACAAGGCTGGGCCCAGGCCTAGACAGAGGGTCCCGAGAGCCCCCCGCTGTACAGCTTAGTCCTTCTCCTCATTGGGGTTCAGCCTGCAGGCCTCCTTGTCCACCTGACCTCACAGGCTTCCTCACACTTGCACTTACTTTGTTTATGGGCATCTGCGTGCTTGGCCTGGAAGCCTCTGGCTGCTGGAGCCCTCTGTCCTCCGTGCTGAGCGTGGAGCCTGGTGGCCGCTAGAACACACAACAGCCCAGCGGGACAGCAAATGGCCTTTAGATTGTTTTTAAAGTTGGTTCTACTTTGAGTGAAAACACATAACAAAACTTACCACCTTGACCAGTTTGAAGTGTACAGCTCAGTGGGGTTAGAAGCATTCACGTGTTGTGTAACCAGCCCCGCCACCTACCCAGGGAACTGGTCCGTCTTGCACAACTGAAACTGTCCCCATGAAACACTCAGCCCAGCCCCTCCTGCCCACCCTTCTACTCTCTGTCTCCATAAACCTGACTGTTCTAGAAATCTACTGTGCTGTGAGTGGAATCATACGGTGTTGGTTTTTTTGTGACGGGCTGCTTTCTCTTAGCATAACGTCCCTGAGGCTCGTCCATGTTGTAGCGGATTGCAGAATTTCCTTCCTTTTTAAGGCCAGGAGACTTTTTGTTGCCCGTATGGGCCATGGTAGGTTTATCCATTCATCTGTCAGGGGACACCAGGGCTGCTTCCACCCCTTGGCTGATGTGAATCTTGCTGCCATGGGCATGGTGTGCAAGGGTCTCTGGGTTCCCGTTTCCAGCTCTTTTCAGGACACACCAGGGGTCAGATTGCTGGGTCACATGGTCATCCTGTGTTTCATTTTCCAAGGAAGCGCCACCCTGCTTTCCACAGCCGCTGCACCATCGTGCTCCCCCACCCCAGTGTGCAGGGCACCAGCTTCCCACATCCTCCCCGCACACGCTGCTCTGTGGTTTGGCTGTTGGTGTTGAGCGTGTTTTCGTGTGCTTATTGGCCGTGCGTGGGTCACCGTTGGAGACGTGTCTTCGGTCCTTTGCCCACTTTTTTTAACCGGGTTGTTTTTGTTGTTGACTTGTAGGAGTTCTTGACATGTGGATGTAAACTCCTTTCGGGTATGCGATGTGTAATATGTTCTCCCATAGTGTAGGCTGCCTTCTCGCTCTCTTGTCTCCTGTGATGCACGGAAGTTTCTCAGTGTGATGTGGCCGTCCCATTTGCATGTACATTTTTAAAATGTTTACAGATAAGTATGGATTTACAGGAAGTTGACAAGACCGTACAGAGAGGGCCCGTGCGCCTTGCCCCAGGTTCCTCCACAGCCTCCGACCCACAGAATGACAGCACCGAGGTGACACCGGGACGTCGACGTGGGCACGTGGGCGCTTCTCCGCCCTTAAGTCCCACGTCTGCACCACCGCAGTCAGCATGCAGAGTGCGAGCCTCAGCACGGAGCTCTCTCGTCCTGCCTCTGTGGTCACCCCTCCCGCGCGCCGATCTGTTCTCATTGCCCTGGCCCAACGTTTTGAGTGTCAGGTCCGTGCGGCTGCTCAGTGTGTAATCTTTTACACACTTTTGGGATTGTCTGCTTTCACTCAGCATCACACCCCAGAGATTACGTCCAGGCTCTTGTGCGTGTCAGCAGTTTGAGGACCCGGTATGTAATCTAACCTGTGTTCAAGAGAAAGAAACAGACACAGCAGCAAGTAAATCACTGAGCTCCAAGTAAATGGCTTGTTTCATCACGAAAGATATTTCCTGGAAGATGCACTTAAAGCCCAGAAAAGAGAAGTGGGGGAAGGGAGGGGCCTCCACCTCCCGGTCCAGGCGTGCTGTCTTGGGGTGCAGGCTGCCCCGCCTCGCTCGCATCCTCTGGTCGGGCGCTGAGGACCTGTGTCACCTGAGCGAGTGCATCTGTGCCGACTAGACCGTTCTTTTTTTTTTTTTTTCCAAAAAAAAAAAGAGGTCAGAGGAGGATCAGAGGGAGAAGCAGGCTCCCCACTGAGCAGGGAGCCCGACATGAGGCTTGATCCCAAGTCCCAGGGATCATGACCTGAGCCAAAGGCAGACCCTTCACCGACAGAGCCACCCAGGCGCCCCTGACCAGACCCATTCTTGTCACACCTCTCCTGAGGCTGCAGCCTGGCTCTTGGAAACTGCAGATGTGAGAGGAGATGTGTGATGGGCCCCGACTGTGGGCCCACTTGTTGTGGAGGGATGACTGCCCGGTGTAACCGAGCTTCTTCTCTGATCAGTGGTGGGTGAGATGAAAGTGGCCAGGCTGCCTTTCTCTGTGGCTCCACCTGCCGGGTCGGAGGGAGGGTTACGTTCTCCTGTGCCTCTCACGCTTGGACTTTGAGCACTGCCTGGCCTTGCTCCGCTGGGTTTGTCCATCTCTGCATGGACATGCAAACCTGTCTGGGCTGGTCTGCGTGTACAGACACGTCCCCAAGGACATGCATTTCGTGTTGTTGTGGCCAGGCTGGTGGCCCAGAACCCCCCCTGCTTACACGTGTCCTGTGTGAACAGAGGCTACAGCCAGGTCCGGGCCCCTCCTGGCTACCGTTGGCTTGAGAACTGGGATCCCTTGCTGGGCTGGCACAGTGGCCAGCAGGGCCAGCCTTCCTGTCGGAGGCTTGGAGCTCGGGAGCCCCACCCTGGCTTTCTCATTGGATTCAGCAGTTTGGGGGCATTGTCAGTGTTTTTAAAGAGGAATCCGTATTTCTCTCCGCACCCCCCGTGTTACTGGCGCTGAGTGCACGCACATGGAGTAGAGTGCCCAGCTGTGCACAGGGAGCACACTGATCCTCACGTGAGCATGCTGCTCGGAAGCTCCCCCTGTTGTGGGGCGAGCGTGTGCCGTGGTAGCCGGGGTAACAGGGGCGTTGCGGGGACTGTGTTCACTGTAGGCACCTGGCTCTGGCAGTGTTAGTAAGGTAAGCACAGTGAGAGGGTAGGGCAATAGCTGGTAACAAAGTAGAACAATTGTAGCAATATACCCTCACCCGTGCTCCTGTGGGGGTGTGAGGTGGCAAATGCCCATGTGATGGTTTCAAGTGAGGAGAGCGGCCCCTTGTGACGCAGCACGAGGTAACTGCTGACCTTCTGACCACACGGCAGGAGGACGGTCATCTGCTTCCTGCTGACCACACGCGCCCGAAGCCGTGGATCAGGGGGACGATTATAGGATTTGTTCTCGTTGCTGCGGCAGGTTTTCCATCGAGTGCAGGGCCGCTGGATAAACGGCAGGGCGCCCAGCCCCATCTGCACTTAAGAGAAACCAGGGGTCATGTTTCCACGCGGCATCTGGGACCTACTGACCCTGAAACGTGTTTCTCTGAAATGCAAACGTGGCAGGTGCCTGCGTTCTGCCTCCTAGGCCTCTGCCATGGCCGTGCGGTGTCTGCTTGTCTGTCCCCGGTGGCTGGCGGCAGTGTGGCCACGTATCTGGAGGGCCTGCCTGGAGGCCGGGCACAGCTACCTGCCTGTCGGAGCCCCTCAGTCTCATGATGAGGGGACACGGGAAGTGGGTGGGGTGGGGGAGCCTGAAGGATGCTGGCATGGGCGCCCTGCAGCCCTTGGTCCCCAGGGCTGGCGGGTGTCTGTAGTCTCAGCCGTGCCTTAGGCCAACGGGGGGGAGCGGGGCCTCTGGGGTAAAGAAGGCCTGGACTCATGCAGAGTCTGGACTTCTCTGGGGTCCAGCACTGACCACATGACCTATGACCGAGCACCCCACGATTTCTCTTATGCTTCTAGTCGCCACGTTCAGCATTTTTCCGGATCGGACAGATGAGCAACGTGGAGCTGGACGATGAGCTGCTCGACCCGGTGAGTAGTAGACTCATTCCCCAACCTTTCAGTTCTCAGCGCCTACCCGCCCCCAGGAAGGACGAAGCCTGCTCTTGTGGAGGTGCCAAGCAGAGTGCAGGCGGTAAACGCCCAAAAAGAAGGTGGTGGACGGACAGCAAGCAGGGCCGTGCAGAGCGGGAGGGCAGGTGTGGGCCGGTCCATGTGGGGGGGCAGGTGAGGTATGGGCAGTCTGTACAGAGCTGGGGGACAGATGTGAGCAATTCCGTGCAGAGCCGGGGCAGTGGGGGGTACAAAATGAGGAGTAGACCATGGGGCCGCCAGAACCTGGGCGACCAGAGAAGTTGGTTCTGAGGGTCCATGTCCCCTGAGGCTGAGCCAGGTGAGCAGAGATGGGACGAGTGCATCCCAGCAGGGAGCACAGAGCCTGTCCTGTGGAAATGCAGGAAGCAAGGCCAGGGCAGCAGGCACCATGTGTGGGAGAGGGGCACTGAGTGGGCTGGAGGTGAGCTCTGGGGACAGGGATCTCTGGGGTCAGGGACCTTTGGACAGTGTGATATCCTCTTCTCCCGCCCCCGTGCCAGGCTGTCTGGCAGCTACTGGGGAATGTTTCCTGAGCCTGCCCTACTCCCCAGCCTTGCATGTGATTTCCTCCTCAGGGTTTTGTGGTTTTGACCTGTGTCCCTCTCATGCCCGGTGATGGCCAGTTGATCTTTCCTGTGCTGGTGGCCATGCGTATGTCTTCTTTGCAGAAATGTCAGTTCAGATCCTGTGCCACTTTAATTGGGTTGTTTGTGTTTTTATCATCAGGTTATAAGAGTTCTTAGTACATTAGATGTACATTGTTCATCAGGTACGAAATCTGCAAAAAGTTTCTTCCATTCTTTGGGTGGTCTCACTTTCTCACAGTTTCCTTGGAAGCACAAAACTTTTTATTTATTTTTTTTAGAGAGTGGGTAGGTGGGGTACGGGCAGAGGGAGAGGGAGAGAGGGAATCTTAAGCAGGTTCCACGCCCAGCACAGAGCCTGACTTGGGGCTCAGTCCCGTGACCCTGAGATCACAACCTGAACCGAAGTCAAGAGTTAAGACGCTCGACCAAGGGAGCCACCCAGGTGCCCCACAAAAACTTTTCATTTTGATGAAGTCCTGTTGACTGTTCTTTGTGTTGTTGCTGTGCTTTTGGTGTCGTATCTAAGAAGCCACTGCCTAGTCCAAGGTCATAAAGATTTTCTCTTGTATTTTTTCTGAGAATTCTGTGATTTTAGACCTTCCATACATTTTTCACTAATTTTGTGTTTGGTGGAAGACAAGGGTACAGCTTCATTTGTGTATGGGTGTCCAGTTTCCCAGGACCATTTCTCAGAAAAAATGCTCTTTACCTAATGAGTCGTCTTGGCACCATGTCAGAGAATCAGTTGGCCATAAACGGGGGGGTTTCTTCCACTGATCCCCATGTCTGTGCTTGTGCCGGGGCCACGCCGTCTGGAGGACTAGAGCTTCTGTGGTGAATTTTGAAACCAGGAAGTGAGTCCTCCGGCTTTGTTCTCCTTTTTCCTTTTTTTTTTTTAAAGATTTTATTTATTTATTTTGAGAGAGTGCATGAGCACGAGCAGGGGGAGCAGCAGAGGGGGAGAAGCAGACTCCTGGCCAAGCAGGGAGCCCAACGCAGGACTTGATCCCAGGACCCTGGGATCATGACCTAAGCCGAAAGCAGACGCTTAACGACTGAGCCACCCAGGCACCCCTGTTCTCCTTTTTCAAGGTCATTTTGACTGCTCAAGATCCCTTGCATTTCCATGTGGTTTTAGGACCAACGTGTCCATTTCTTCAAGGACGCCAGCTGGGGCTTCATGCTTCGTCTTCTGACCCGTGAACACAGTGTCTTTCCATTTATTCACATCTCCTGTTCCTCTCAACAGTGTTTTGTGGTTTTCAGCGCACACGTCTTACATTTTTTCTGTTGAATATATCTGAGGAATAAATTTTATTTTATTCTTGATGCTGTTGTGCGTACAGTTTTCTTAATTTCATTTCTGGCTGTTCTTGCAGGTGTGTAGGGAAGCCTTTGATTTTTGCATACCAATCTCATATCCTTCAATCTTATTGAATGCGTTATTCTAATAATTTTTTAGTGTATTTTTGGGGATTTTGTGTATATGAGGTCATGTTATTTGCAAATAGTGAGTTTCATTTTTTCCTTTTCGTTCTGGATGCCTTTTATCTCTTCTTGCCCACCTGCCCTGGTAGGACCTCCAGAACCTTGTGGAGTCAGCGGGGCCAGAGCAGGTGCCGCTTGTCGTGTTCCTGATCTTAGGGGAGAAGCTTCAGTCTCTCACCATCGAGTGGGATGCGCGCTGTGGGGTTTTCCTAGACGCCCTGATCAGGTTGAGGAGGTTCCTTTCTGTTCTTTGTGACATATTTTTGTCATGAAGGAGTGTTGAATTTTTATTAGATCCTTTTTCTGAATCTGTTGAGGTGATCATGAGGATTTTGTCCTTTATTCTGTTGAAATGGTATTGAGCTGTTTTTACTCAAAACACTGGAGACGCCAAATGTGTGGGTTTTCCTCAGCAAGCAGTTTTCCAGTTCTGTGCAGACACCAACTGAGTGTCCTACAATTTAACTCAATTCTGACACTATCTGCCCGGCATGAATGCAGACCTCCCCCCCGCGGCTGAAGGCCCCATTCCATGAATTCGCCACCACGTTCAGGGTGTCATCAGCTGTAAGTCAGGGTTCTCACGACCCCCTTCTTGAGTGCCATAATTTGCTAAATCGGCTCACAGAACTCAGGGAAACACCTTACTTCAGTTACTGGTTCATCATCAAGGCTATGACTCGGGAACAGCAGATGGAAGAGACCCACGGGGCGGGTGGGGGGGTATGAGGGTGGGGAAGGAGCTCGGAGCTTCTGGGCCCTGCCTCCTGCCCGGGAGCGCCACCCTCCCCCTCCTGGCACCTCCATGTGCCCAGAGGCTCCAGAACCCCTTCGTTTTGGGTTATACAGGCGTGGTTGATGAGATCATTGGTCAAGGGTGTTGGGCTCAGTCTCCAGCCCCGACCCCTCTGCAGAGGTCACAGGTCAGGGTGTGGAGCTGAGAGTTCTACCCTCTAGTCAGCCTTGATCTTTCTGGCTAGCAGCCCCCACCTGTGTCCGAGCACACAGAAAACATCCTCCAGAGAGGCTGCAGGATTTCAGAGTCGGGTGCCAGCACCTGGGACGTGCATTAGTAACATATTTCTCACGGTTCCACAAACATGATGTCCCTTGATTTTTGGATGTGTCGCTGGGACAAACCGAGGGACCCAATCTGCTGGCACCTTGTCTGGAACGTGTGTCTGCGTTCTTGAAGGGCGTGGGCCTGCACTTCCAGACTCCTGGAAGGTTTCGTGGGCCAGACGGACATCTGCCCCCTTCCCTTCTCATTCGTGCTTTGTTCCCACATGTGCGGGTTGTCACGTGTGGCTCTGCCTCTTCCTTCTGCAGGAGATGGACCCCCCTCACCCTTTCCCCAAGGAGATCCCGCACAATGAGAAGCTCCTGTCCCTCAAGTACGAGGTGGGCCTTCTCCCTCTGCGCTCCCATCCCACGCAGCCCCTGGGCCCCTTGTCCCCCTGCCCACCTCCACCTGCTGTGAACCCGGAGCATCAGGGTCAGCCCTGTGTTGTGTGTGCCGTCTTGCAGAGCTTGGACTACGACAACAGTGAGAACCAGCTGTTCCTGGAGGAGGAGAGGCGCATCAACCACACGGTGAGTCTGGGCTGCAGTGTTCTTGCAACACGCCCTGCTCTCAGCCGCCTGGTGCTGCTCCCTGGGCTGGGCACAGCCATCTCCCACTCCCTCCGTGGTCCTCGAGCCTCTGATTCTGGAGCCACCATTCATTCTACTGGTTTGTGTCCTGGAGCCAGAGACACCAATACAGGACACGGGGTGGGAGTGGGTGTGTCAGGTGCGTGTGATGGAGAAGGACATGCAGAGTCGGGTGCCTGGGCTGTCAGTTACCAATTGTGAGCTGGTTGGGAAGGCCCACCGCCTCTGAGATAATGAATTGACCAGAGGCTGCCTCCCCAGGATGCGGGGTCCCACATGCGGCATGCTGTTGCTGGTGGTGGCCTGCAGAACCCCAGGGGCTGGTCGCACCGTCTCCAGAGTGGCCTGTGAGCGGAGACCACCCCCACTGCACCTGCTTCTGATGGTTGCCCTCCCCATAGGCCTTCCGGACGGTGGAGATGAAGCGCTGGGTCATCTGTGCCATGATTGGGATCCTCACGGGCCTTGTGGCCTGCTTCATTGACATCGTGGTGGAGAACGTGGCTGGCCTGAAGTACAAGGTCGTCAAGGACAGTATCCTTTGTCCGTAGTCCCCAGCACAGAAGGGGGCACGGGCTCCGCCGCAGAACACCCCGGTCCCAGGAGGGGCCAGCGGTGAGGCCTCCGAGCCGGGCGTGTTTGCCAACCACATGGGGGAGGCGTGGCTGCGTGGTGGCATCTCGTGCCCGGGATGGCGCTCTGGGCTCAGGAGGCCGGGCTGCAGGAGTGCGGCAGGCAGGCCAGGGGTGAAGCTGCCACTCGTCCTTGATGAGTGCCAGATATCGACAAGTTCACGGAGAGAGGCGGGCTCTCCTTCTCCCTCTTGCTGTGGGCCACACTGAACTCTGCGTTCGTGCTTGTGGGCTCTGCGATCGTCGCCTTTGTGGAGGTACGGCCACCAGGAGGTCACAGCAGGGGTTCCTGTGGGTGGGAACCCTGACTCCTGCTGGCGAGGTTTGCATGGCTACACCGGCGGGGCCTCTGGTGCAGGTGTTAGATATGCAAAGCAGAAGGCGCCTGGGTCCTGCGGTGCTCCTCCTGCCCTGCGCAGCAAGGACTGGGGGGTGTGCCCAGGCCGTGCGGGGCCTCAGCAGCAGGGCTGGTCCAGGTGGAAGGGAGCACCCCTTCTTTCCGGGACTTCTCCCAGAAGCCTGTGGCCTGCCTCTTGGCTTCTCCCTTGTCATGGCTGTAGCATCTGGAAGCTTCTATCTGCAGTGCAGTGTGGTGCCCCCCACTCCCCCTTGGGGACACTGGGCCTCCTCTGCCCCATTCCTGACCCCTCCCATGGCCTGCTCCCCACTACCCCCCATCATCACTGCCTCTGGAATGGGGAGAAGCGGGAACCCCTCCATGGGCAGCTGTCCCCTGCTCGGACACTGTGTGGCCGTGTCCGCCTGGGCCAGTGCGGCCGTAGCACGGCCTCTCTCTCCTTCCAGCCGGTCGCCGCTGGCAGCGGGATTCCCCAGATCAAGTGCTTCCTCAACGGGGTGAAGATCCCCCATGTGGTCCGGCTCAAGGTGAGGCCCGGAGCGGGCGCTGGGCTGGGCGCTACCGGTTTGCCTCCCAGCACCTCTGGGACTTGGACTCACTCACTCACTGTGCTGCCCACGAGCGTGCGTGTGCATTTCACGTAAACTTTGTTTGGAAGGGGGTAAAATTTTCTCTTATGTGTTTTAAATTATGCACACGTGCTTTAATGGGGCGTCTGCTGTGTGGAACGCATTAAGTTCTGCACGGTGGTTACTATCTCAGGAAGAGAAAGGCTCTGTTAGAGTGGTAGGTACACTTACCGTGAGGTTTTTCCTGTTTTTATAGTTTGCCTTGATATTCATTACACTTAACATTTTCGGTAATGCCCCGTTTCTGAGGAGATTGGGGTGTCGGGAGCGTGGTTCCTCGGGGGTCATTTCCAGGTGTCGGGTTGGCCCATCTGGGGCGGGATGCTCCTGGGGTCTGCAGCTGTGCACTGGGGTGCAGGACCGGTGGTGGCAGCCGGAGGGAGCAGGGCGGCCTCGGGGGGGCCAGTGCCTGCTGCACACAGCAGGGTCCACCCTGATGGGCGCAGGGTTAACAGATACACCTGGTATGTGTCCAGAGGAGCAGGACTTGCTGCTTTCGGCTCTCTGGGACACACAACTTCTCGGGATAGAAAATTGGAAGGTTTGCAAAGGCAGGAAAGAATTGGCCTGAAGCCCAGCACCGAGGATGCCCACTGTGTGCTGGCCCTCCTGCGCGCCTTCCTTGTCTCATGGGTTTGGAGCTGGGAGCATAGTCTGGATCACTTCACGGACAGTTTTGCTACACGTTCTCGGACTGTGTGTGGCCTTTAATCAGAGACTCGACGTACCTTCCTTTGTGTTCTAGACCCTCGTGATCAAAGTGTCTGGTGTGATCCTGTCCGTGGTGGGCGGACTGGCGGTGGGAAAGGTAACGGAGCCCTGCTCACTGCCTGTGACCCAAGGCCAGTTTGTTCTCTCAGAGCCACGCTTATCTGAGAGCGGCTGTCCTGTGCTTCTAGGAGGGGCCGATGATTCACTCGGGCTCTGTGATTGCCGCTGGGATTTCCCAGGGGAGGTCAACGTCGCTGAAGCGCGATTTCAAGGTGAGTGCTCTTCTCCTGACGTGGACAACCCCAGCATCCCTGGGAGGCTCTGCTGGGACCACGGCCTCGCCCAAAGGCGTGTAGAGCCTCGGAGGAGGTCAGGAGTGGCTCACATGTAGATTGAAGCTGCTTTGTTTTCAGTTTGTCACGTTTCCCTCAAAAGCCAGCATTCTGATGGGTGTTGCACTGACTTTACGTGGGAGTTCAGAGACATTTGCGGTTTTTACAGGACAGTCTTGTGTTTTTACATCAAGGTCATGTTTTCAGTGGCTTGTTTATTTGGCCTTCTTCCCATCTCCTGCGGGGTTTTGAGGCGTGTGATGGGTCTCTGGCGCGGTCTGAAGGTTCATCATCGTCTCGAGCCTCCTTTCTTGGCTCTTGGTCTGTGGGGGCGCTGTGTGCTGCTGTGTCTGTTCTGTGGTCTTCGTGAATCCACGTCAGTGGACCATCCAGAGACCCATCCTGTCCCCTGTCCCTCTCCCTCGGGCCCTGTCTCCATGGCGCTCACCAGCCTTGCCACCCTCTGAAGGGAGCGCCCTTGGGGAAGCTGGCTGAAGCATCTTCCCACGTGTCCCCATTGCAGATCTTTGAGTACTTCCGCAGGGACACGGAGAAGCGGGACTTTGTGTCGGCGGGAGCTGCGGCCGGCGTGTCTGCCGCATTCGGAGCCCCCGTGGGTGAGGAGGACGGCTGCATGGGGGAGGCCTCGGTCCCTCCTGTGTGGAGGAGGGTCTTGGTGTTTGCTGGCTCTGAGTACGGGGTGAGGGTGCAGGCACGTGCCCCCGACAGGCCCGGGGTCTGCCTCTTCCAGTCTTGGTGCCCCAGGGTCGTGGGGTGTGAGGCTGCATGGGGCGCAGGCTCCCCTGTGTGTACTGGGGAGCACATCCGGGCTGGGCTGCTTCCATTCCAGGTGGGGTCCTGTTCAGCTTGGAGGAGGGTGCCTCCTTCTGGAACCAGTTCCTGACATGGAGAATAGTAAGTGCCTGCAGAGGGCCGCTTCCTTGTGGAGGTCAGGCCATGCCGTCCTTTGGCCTCCATTGCCCAGGTGGGAACCTGGCTCTTGGCCCGCACTGTGGTGCTTTCCCCTGGGCTCTCTGACCCATTGTGCGGGGAGCCATGCCCCCGCGGGGCTGCTATGGCTGGCTCTGCCCGTCACTCGACCTGAGCTGCTCACTGTCCTCCCGCCACATGTGCCTCCCCCGTCGGCCGTGGGCCTTGTTTGTACCCTATTGTCTTCCTCATCGGGACCCCCAGACCACGCCGCTCACCTCGTCCCTCGGCTGCATCACTGGCTTGGCCCCGACACTTATCCAGACAAGGCTGCAAAGTGCTCACCAAGTCATGAGGGGCCAGGCACCTCCTGAGTGACGGGAGGGGAGGGTCCCCCTTCAAACCCCCGCCCCCCCCACAACCCCCTCTTGGCCCCCCGGGATCCAAGCCCCGGGGCTTCAGCTGGGCGGGCTTAGTTCTGATGGCACTTGTGTTCCTCTCTGCCCACAGTTCTTTGCTTCCATGATTTCCACTTTCACCCTGAATTTTGTCCTGAGCATTTACCATGGAAACATATGGGACCTCTCCAGCCCAGGGCTTATCAATTTTGGAAGATTTGACACAGAGGTAATATGCTGTGCTTTCTTGTTCCTTCTGCTTTTTTCTCCGGCTGGAGCCATGGCCACGTATTTAAGGTTCATCCCGAGGATGTGGACTCTCGGGAAATGGTTGCTCTTAGCTGCAGGATTGAGCTCTAGGGGCCGGGAGTTGACTTAGGGAAGCTCACAGCTGACCTACTTGTGCAGGTTAGGACATCTGACACCCTCTGGGTGCTCTCGGGGCGTCTGGGCTGGGCAGTCTGTGGACTGTCAGATGGGGTGCTAAGACCACCCGGGGCACGTGGGTGCCGTGCACTGGGACCCTGCTCCCAGGGGTGCTGCGCACATGGACACAGCAGAGCCCTTGGGTCACTCAGGGTCATGAGATGTGTTCCTGGGGCTCCTCCTCACTTGTGCCCCCCTGATTCCCATTTGGCAAAAGCTCGGGCCGTCCCCCACCTTCAGGTGGACAAAGACCCGGGCCGGGAGCAGGCGAAAGCCCTAGAGGGAGTGTGGTCTGCTGTGAACACCCGTGCTTCTCCCCTAAGACGCCCACGATTGTGCATGCAAGTGCTGGAGGCCCTGTCCATGCTCGCATCAGAGCGGAGAGGGAGGCCCTGTCCGTGCTCGCATCAGAGCAGAGAGGGCTGGCGATGCTCTTCTCACAGGATGCTCGTTCTCTTCTCTGCAGACGATGGTGTACACGATCCACGAGATTCCTATCTTCATTGCCATGGGCGTGGTGGGTAAGGGCCATCCTGTGAAGGAACGCTTCCTGTCTCTCAACCCCCTCCCCAGGTGGTGGCAGGCGACTTCCAGTGGGGTCAGAGTATGTGGCGGGGTCAGGGCCTGGCAGATCCCAGGCCTGGCCCAGCTTTGAAGTAGCCGGAGGGGGCTGTGGCCCCCACAGCCCATGAGCTGTCCTCCCACGCCCTGCCCCGTTCACGCACCCCTGGGAGGGAGCCCACAGGTGGAAGACCGGAGCTTTACCTCTGCTGGAGAAGCCCCTCGGTGGGGTACTCCTCTAAGAAATAGAATGAGTTCTGAACAGTGCTTTCTACTTGGAGAAACCTTTTTCCTTGGAAGGAAGGCAAAGCCTTTGAGAAATCCACCTGTCCGCCTGCCAGGCTGTGCTGACGAAGAGCACACAGAGACACAGAGCCTGTTCTCCTGTCCTTTTTCTCGTGTCCCTTACATGCTGCCCCTCCTGGTCGTAGGTGGTATTCTTGGGGCCGTGTTCAATGCCTTGAATTACTGGCTGACGATGTTTCGAATCAGGTGAGAAGCCTCCGTTTTGTGGACCCAGGACCTTTGAAAATGGGTGTGTTGAGGGTCTGTGCCTGTGGAGTTGCATGGAAGGCCATGTACCCACAGGCCTCCTCGGTGGTGGTTCGTATGGGGGGTGGAGACAGACCAGCATTGGCTAGGGGGCCACGTGAGGCTGGGCGTGGCTGGAGGCCTGGGAGGTCCTGAGCCAGGGGACAGTCGGGACTGCAGAGGCTCTGTTCCTGTGAGGAGAGCAGTTCTGGGAGCTTTCGGGTTTCTGAAACCTTTGGGGGGCCCTGGGCTTGAGGAAGCACTTCCTTCTTGTTCTCTTGCCCGGACTTAAAATGCCATCGGCGAGTGCCCTGGAGATGACCTGGTGATTGCGTGTGCTGTGTCACCCCCAGTCGTGTCCTGCAATGAGCTCTCAGGCACAGACTCCGGTGCCATGGCAGCTGCTGGGGAGTCCAGCCATCCTGAGGCCCGGTCCATCCTGCTGTTTGCTCTAGGTACATTCACCGGCCCTGCCTCCAGGTGATCGAGGCCATGCTGGTGGCTGCGGTCACGGCCACGGTCGCCTTCGTGCTCATTTACTCATCCCGAGATTGTCAGCCCCTGCAGGGGAGCTCCGTGTCCTACCCCCTCCAGGTAGGAGACTCAGGCCTGGTGGGCGGGTCCACCAGGCAGGATGGGGCCGGAGGGTGGCCAACAGCTGAACTCCGGGCTCAAGTGGGCTTCACAGGCCTGCCGGGCATCGGGAGAGAGGACGTTATGCTGGGCGGGTCTCCCCAGTCCTCCTCCCAGAGCAGCACCCCGCCCGGGGCCACACGGGGACTTGAGTAGTGGGGGCTCATGGGTGTGGACTCGAGAAGCCCTGAAACCCGCACCGACATGCTCACTGCAGCGTGGCCACGGCGCACGGGGATCAACCCAAGTGTCTGCCAGCTGGCAAACCGGTCAGCAAAATGGGGTTTGTCCATAAGTGGGTATATTTGGCCGTGGAAATAGCTGAAACCCCGACATGCTGCCACGTGGATGAACCTCGAAAACACCATGGACAGAAGCCAGACACACAGGCCCCTGTGTCGTGTTAACGCTGTGTATGTGAAACATCCGTCGAAGCCATGGAGGCAGAGCAGATGCCTGGTGGCTGGGGGTGGGTTGGCGGGGAAGGGGACCTAGGTGTCATGGAACCGCGCTCTGCTCAGCCTGGGAGGGCTGAGCCCGCCGGCGCCAGGGCCCAGGTGCCGACTGCTGAGCCTTGGAGTCCCCGCGTGCCTCGGTGACAGACTCACCGGCCAGTGTCCTGGGGACCAGCCCCTGCATGCAGGACCTGCCTCTGAAGCCCTCGCCGTCCCCGGGCCTGACTCTTTGCATCCTGCCTCCCCCTGAGGCCATGACCCGACCCAGCCGTTAGTGGTTGCCCCTGGCGCCGTGCAGGCCGGGACCATCTGCCCCACCGGCCCATTCTCTCTTCCAACCTTGCAGCTCTTCTGTGCAGATGGCGAGTACAACTCCATGGCCGCCGCCTTCTTCAACACCCCGGAGAAGAGCGTGGTCAGCCTCTTCCACGACCCCCCAGGTGTGTGCCTGAGCTCCGTGCCGTCAGCCACACGTCCCCACGCCCCCCTTGACCCCTCCAGGCTACTCTGAGACTGACCCTGGGCCTCGGTGTCCCTTTCCGGCCAGCTGGGCCCCGAGGGCGGAGGTCACCACCCTTGCTGCGGTTGGGACCCAGGGGTGGGCCAGGCCCTTCCCCTCCTGGAGGGCGGCTGCTGGGGCTGCCTCCATCGGTTACGACATTCCTGTCCGCCCGGTGTTTTCCTCCTGGGAACTGCTTGCACGGGGCACCCTCCATCCTCCACATACACTGGCCATGCACGTCCACCCCCACTGTGGGGCCCAGACTCATGACCCCAAGGTCAAGAGTCACGCTTCTCCAACTGAGCCAGCCAGGTGCCCCCAGCTGTGTGCATTTTTAATTAAAAAAGAACCAGTTGTGAGTGCAGACCACTGCTTTTCAGCACACGCCTTCCACGGCGCTCATCTGGGTAGCAGCCTCGCCTTCACCCACAGCACATGGGCCCCCGAGAGCGCCTGCTGTGTGCACCTGTAGACACCAACGTGTGGTCATTCTGTGACATCACCTTTTCCGTTTGGGGGTCCTTTAGGGCACCTCTAATTGCTCCTTGTCACGAACAAGGTCACTGAGAACTTTCTAGTCTTTATGCCTCTGCACGTGCGACAGTCCCCACAATTTATCAGGAAGGCTGAGCCCTTGGGACAGAGCACCGAGCGGGGCCCTCGGGCGGGCAGCAGCCTCCTGGACTGGTTGGTCCCAGGCTTTGATGGGTTTCTTCTGGCATCTGGAAGTGTCTCCTATAGATTGATGGCTGATGGCCTCCCTCCCCTGACGTCCAGGGGTCTGCACATCCTTCCCTTGGCCTCAGGTCAGTGTCCTGCTGGCCACACCGGGTCCCACCTGCCAGGCGGCCATCCTCCTGCCTCAAGGACTAGGCCTCTGAGATCTGCACTGTGGCCACTGAGGATGGGGCTCGTTCTGGGCAGCTGGGCAGGGTGGCTGTGTTCCAGGTGAATCCACGTGGCAGGCCCTGGCCAGCCCCCTCTCCCCTAGGCTCCTACAATCCCATGACGCTCGGCCTCTTCACTCTGGTCTACTTCTTCCTGGCCTGCTGGACCTACGGGCTGACGGTGTCTGCCGGTGTCTTCATCCCGTCCCTGCTCATCGGGGCCGCCTGGGGCCGGCTCTTCGGCATTTCCCTGTCCTACCTTACAGGGGCCGCAGTGAGTGTCGGCTTCTCTGTGCACCAAGCCTGGGACCCAGGGCTCCCAGTGCAGGGGGACAGGTGCATCTGAGCCCCTGGTCGTTTGCGTGGCCTCGAGTTCTCTGGCTGCTGATGTTTGATGCGAGCACTCGATCAGCATGGCCATCCGCAGATGTGACAGAGACGCACATCAGGAGAGACGCTCGGTGTTAGTAGAGTGCGTGATTGAGGCACGTGTGTGCCTCGTCTCCAGGGGCTAGGCTTTCTTTTTTTGTATTTTCCTTTCTTATTTGAGTCTTTGAAATAAGATTTCTAAAACCGTGAGTGGACCAGGGAGGATCTCCCACCCACCCCCCACCCCCGCCTGCTCCCTTTTCCAGGTTTTGGCTATGCTTGCGTCACGTTTCCTTCCAGATGTGGTTCTGGATTTTTCTTTTTTACTTGAGAGGTGATTCACGCACTGTCAGGCATCCCACCATGGAAGCGTGCAGCTCGGGAGTTATTCGTGTGCGATAGTCATCTGGGTCACGCGTCTAGTGTCATACATGGTGTACTCCTCTCCCCAAGAAACCTGCCCACTGCGGTCACTGCCATACCCCCAGCCCCCGCAGCCACTCGCCCGCCCTCTGTCTCTGTGGATCTGCCTGCTGCAGGCATTTCCCAGTGGAGTCGCTCAGGCGTGGCCTCTGTGTGGTCTCGCCCGTGCTTGTCTGTGATGGGCTCTCTCTGCACACACGGGGGGCGCCGCCGTCCTTCCCTGCATGCACCTGTCCCCCTTCCCTCCTCGGCACTGGGAATGCGTGCTCCTGCCGTAGCTGCCGAGTTGTCGCGTGTGTGGATGGCACAGATCCTTTGGGGCCTCCCGAGCAGGGTACACCCAGGGTGTTTCCGGACTTCGTTGTTGTAGATGCTGCCGCAGACCAGGTTGCACATGCGTGTGGGGTGTAGGGCTTCTCCTAGGGCTGGCATTGCTGGGCCCGGGGGCCTCCAGGGGGTCACATATCTCGGTGGGCTTGAGTAGGGGGCTGCCTCCCCTCTGACACCGTCTCTGTCATCCCTGCAGATCTGGGCGGACCCTGGCAAATATGCCCTTATGGGAGCAGCTGCCCAGCTGGGTGAGTCCTGGCTGCCATGTGGGTGTCCCAAGGTAATGAGGAGGCGCCTTCCCCTTGGGGAAGGGAAGGCAGCGAGTCCATTCCATGGTGGCGTGCAGGGTCGCTGTCTCCACTCTGCAGCCTGCAGGGCTAGACCACCAGGACGAATGGGTGGGGTGCCGGCACGAACAGTGGGCGATGAGGGTGGTGGCGCGAAGTGGCCTGCAGGGGCTGGAGCCTACCCCCAACCCCCCCGGGCAGGTGGGATCGTGAGGATGACCCTCAGCCTGACAGTCATCATGATGGAGGCCACCAGCAACGTGACGTACGGCTTCCCCATCATGCTGGTCCTCATGACCGCCAAGATCGTGGGGGACATCTTCATTGAGGTGTGGCTTATGGGAAGAGGCCTGCCTGCCTTCCTTGCCCCCTGCTCTGTGTATCCCCCCACCACGCCCCCGGCCGGGAGCCTGAGACTGGGGGCTGGGAGGTCTGCAGCAGAGGCAGCAGGAGGGGCCCTCCACCTCTCAACATCCCCTGCTGCCCCTCCTCAGGGCCTGTATGACATGCACATTCAGCTGCAGAGCGTGCCCTTCCTGCACTGGGAGGCCCCCGTCACCTCTCACTCGCTCACTGCCAGGTATGGCCGGCGGGGGGCCACGGAACAGTGGACAGTCCCGGGAGGTTTGGGAGGGCGCACTGGTGTCTGGATGTCCGGGCAGCTGGCCGCCTGGCTCCTTGTTCCTGGTTTTCCTGCATCTGGCAGCTTCCTGCCTGTTCAAGCTTCAGCTTTGCTGTGAAGAGAGGGCGTCTGTCACGTGGTCGGTTATGGTGAGGCCACAGCAGATGCTCTTCCCCAGGGAGGTGATGAGCACGCCAGTCACCTGCCTACGGAGGAGGGAGAAGGTGGGCGTCATCGTAGACATACTCAGCAACACGGCATCCAATCACAACGGGTTCCCCGTAGTGGAGTTTGCTGGTGATACTCAGGTACCCAGGGCCACGGGCACAGGGGGGTGGCCATCCCACACGTGCACGTGGCCTCGGGCGTGGTGTGTGGGGTGGACACCCTGTGCGGACACGTTGAGCTCACCTCCACCACCTGCAAAGGAACTGGGTCACGCAGCCGGGAGGCGCCGGCCTAGGGGGTTGCCGACCACTCAGGCTCGGCTCAGGCTCCTACCCCAGGCCGCGCCACCAGCCCGGGAGTCAGGGCCGTGACGCGTGCCGGGAGCTGTCTGGATGGATGTGGCGCGGGTGGCAGTGCGCATCTCACCACGGCCTCTTGCTGCCTCGTCTGTGCTCCGTGGTCGCATCCCGCTGCCGTTCCTGGACTCTGGGCAGTGATGAGCGCGTGGACTGCCTGCCAGTGCCCAGAGCTGGCGGCCATATGTCGAGGGGGAGCCTGGCGGGGTGTCCCCGCGGCAGACGTCAGAGGTCGCGGCGGGGCGCCCCCCCGTGGCGGGAGGGGTCTAGGTCTTGGACTCCTCACAGATGACAGTCTCTTCCCCCAGCCGGCCCGGCTTCAGGGCTTGATCCTGCGCTCCCAGCTGATTGTCCTCCTGAAGCACAAGGTAGCGGCTGGGCGCCTGTGGGGGGTGGGAGACGCGGGCGCGGGCTCTGATGCACTCCACCCCCAGGTGTTCGTGGAGCGCTCCAGCATGGGCCTGGTGCGACGGCGGCTGAGGCTGAAGGACTTCCGGGATGCCTACCCACGCTTCCCACCCATCCAGTCCATCCACGTGTCGCAGGACGAGCGCGAGTGCACCATGGACCTGTCAGAGTTCATGAACCCCTCCCCCTACACGGTGCCCCAGGTGCCTGCCACGGGCTGCTGCCGGGGATGGGACGGCTCAGACGCGTTGTGACAGGGGTGTGCGGTCCCGGGCTCGGTCATCCTGCCTCTGTTCATCCTTCCGCGGGTGGGCCTGGCCGGCAGCTCAGCGGAGGCCCTGTCCCCTTTGCAGGACGCGTCCCTCCCGCGGGTGTTCAAACTGTTCCGGGCCCTGGGCCTCCGGCATCTGGTGGTGGTAGACAACTGCAACCAAGTGAGTGGCCAGGGTCTCCTGCCTGCCCTGCTCACGGCGGGCACGGGGACTTGCTCTTAGCCCCTGTGGGGGGCTCAGGGCTTGGGACCAGACTGGCCAGGTGCCCAGTTCCGGGGCTCCCCCAGGGCGCAGCGCCCAGTTTCCACAGCAGCAGGAGGCTGCCCCCTTGACCCGGCTTTGCTCCCGCAGGTGGTGGGACTGGTGACCAGGAAGGACCTGGCCAGGTACCGGCTCGGGAAGGGGGGCCTGGAGGAGCTCTCCCTGGCCCAGACGTGAGGCCCTGGCCCCTCCCTGGGGCCCCCACCTCGCTCCCTGGGGCAGCAGTGGATACAGCATTCCCCAGTCCTCGGGACGTGTGTGTGTCTGTGTGTTTGTGCGCGTGTGAGACAGCGAGCAAGCCGGCCCCCAGGGCGGGGCCCCTTGCTGCTTCTGTGCTGTCTGCTTCCCTGCGGGCCGGCCCAGGAGGACCACACCGTCTGTGCTTCACCAGCTGGGGCCTGGGGGACATGCAGCTGCTGCAGAGGCCTATAGCCTTGTCCCTTCGACTCTGTCTGCGGCCTTGAGGTGATGGGCCTGGACCTCGAGGCAAGGGCCCTGGGGAGCAGACACGGCAGCGGGCTCTAGCGGAAAGCCAGCTGTTTTCCCAGACTTACCACGTGGCCCTCTGGGGTCTTGGCCAGGGAGGGAGCTGAGAACCATCTGCGGGCCTGAACAGCTCCGTCCCCCCAACGTCCAGACGATGGCTGTGGCCGGTGTGCACCGAGAGACTGGCATTCCTAAGCAGAGGGGCTCCCACTGGCCTCCGAGGACCCCTGGCCCAGGGCCACCTTCTGAGGCAGCTCTGGTCCCCGTTCTGGGGCAGGTGGCCTCTGGGATGGGCCGGTGAGCCTGGAGCAAGGATACTGGGCCTCTCCCTGGCTGGTGTCCTGTGGCCCCAGGGCCCCAGGGCCCCAGGGGACCTTTCCTGGAGGTGATTTCCCCGGCCTGCTTCGGAGAGCAGGCTACACAGCCGCCGTTGTGGCAGCCTGGCGGTGTGGGGGGGAGCTCAGCTGGGTTTGGGCCCCTTTCCAGGGAGCAGGGCCTCGAAAAGCCAGTCCCTTCCTGGCAGGAGCCCTGTGGGTGACGCAGGGGGATGAGCTTGGGGGGGCTCTGGAAGGGAGAAATAAAGGAATCGTACCCTGATGGCCAGTGCCGGCTCCCTGGTTCCTGCCCAGCATAGGCCATGGTCCAGCAGTCGGGGGTTTGCGGGGCCACTGAGCGGGGTCATCGGGACGGGGCCGCCTTGACCACCCCCCCACCGGGAGGAGATGGAGGCAAGAGGCCCAGAACCCTTGTGAGGAGGCAGTGGTGGCCCACGGACATCTGTGGGATATGCCGGCACTGGCCCCGGACGCCCGGGGGCCCTCGGTCTGGATGCCACTCTGGGCTGCGAGGGGTGTGGAAAGGCCCCCAGACTGGGGTTGATTTTAGAGCCGTCGCCTTGTCCTGGGGAAGCCCTGGTCAGCCCTCGGGCAGGTCTGGGTGATGGGGCGCAGGGAGCATGGGTCCACGCTGGCCTGACACAAACTGGGGAGCATCAGGCCGGACTTCGAAGACCTGGAGTGGGAAAGCGGGAACGTCGCGGTTCATGTGATGACACCTTGAACCAGCCGCTCGGCCCCCACATTGGGTTAAATAAAACACTGGAAACTCGCGCCTCTTTGCTTTCTTACCGTGGCCGCGAGGAGCCTGGAGGCACCACACAGCCCATGCCTGCAGCCTGCACCCTGTCCCAGCTCCCGGGGGCGCCCTGGCTGCGTGCCATCCCACCAGTTGGCCCAGCTCTCCTGACCCTCCCGTGCAGGCCAGCTGCCACCACCCACACCGGCCGGCTCAACAGCGCCCCCTCAGATCTTTCCAGAAATGGGCAGTTGGGGGGCCTTGCGGGGCTGGCAGAGTCGAGGACCCAGGTTCCACTGGCAGTTGGGCCACGAAGTCACCAGGTTCTGGTGAGAGAAAGATGGTTCCAGAAGAGCCCCAGCCGCGTGCCTGCCCTGCTGTTGTCTTGGAAGGAGAGATGTGAGGGCAGGCGCCCCCTCTTCACACCCCACGTGCTCCCCAAGGCCCCAGAGCCTTCCAGCCCCGCCTTCCCTGCCTCCCTCCAGCCACCCGGGTGTCCAGCTCTGGGCAGCCCTGGGTGTGAGGCCCAGGGCCTCTGGGCAGTGGCTGAAGCCATACCAGGTGAGCCTGGTGCCAATAGGGGCTGAGCCAGAAGGACGGTCCAGGGAAGGGCCTGCGCGGGGGTGTGGTGTGGGCCACCCGGGGCAGCTCTGCTTCCTGACCTCTCAAGGGGCCTTACTGCCCCAGGGCTGCCTCTGGAGCTGGGCAGGCAGGGCACAGTCCTGTTTCTGCTTCCTGGTGCTGTATGTCCTCAGGCAGGAGCCTGGGCCTCTCTGAGCGCGAGCTGCCTGTTGTGGGGCAGCAAGTGCTGAGCCCTCCTGGGGTCAGGCCGTGTGACTCAGCAGGACGGGCCAAGATGAGCTCAGTGGATGCGCTTAGCCAATTGCTGCAGTGATTTGGGTCCCTGTTACCCTGAGCCCCACCTGGAGCCAGCACCCTTCATCAGCCCAGAAGCCACCTTCTTGCAGAGCTGGCTGCTAGCAACCCCTCGTCGGGGGCTTCACCCCCGACCCAGACGAGCACCATCACCCTGGGGGACCTGGGGCTCCCACTCGAGGAAGGACTGGCCAGTCCCGAGCTCTTGAGTCTGGAGGAGATCTCCGAGAGGTATGAGTCCAGCCACCTGGCGTCCACCACCTCCATCCCGGAGCGGGACTCCCCCAAGCACTGGACGCAGCTGGAGCAGTGGTGAGCCTGGGCAGAGCTGGGGCGGGAGAGCCATGCCACCCACCCCCGGCACGCATGGCCCGACTCAGCCTGCTCCTCACCCTGGCCAGGGTGGCCGACCTGCAGGCCGAGGTGGCGTCTCTGCAGGGGCACAAGGACTGCTGTGAGCGAGCCATGCTGAGCCTGCTTCAGGAGATGCTCCAGCTGCGCACCTGCATGCAGCTGCAAGACGCAGAGCTCGAGAGGCTGCAGCAGGACCTGCGGCAGGCGGCTCGGGCCCCAGAGAAGGAGGCCCTCGAGGTGAGCCGCCACCATCCCTCCCCAGAGGCGAGGCTCCCCCGCTCCCGGGACCCTGTGCTCAGCTCGGGCCCCTGTCTGTGCCAGCCGGGCTACGAGGCTCAGCCTCCCCTTCCTCCTTGCAGTTCCCCAGCCCCCAGAGCCAGAACCAGATGCAGGCCCTGGACAAGAGGTACACCCCCCACCCCACCAGTGGTGCAGGCCTTAGTGGCAGGGCCAGGGGCTGGGGGAAAGCAGCAGCTGGGGCGGGACCCCAGGGCATCAGCCTGCACCCTGCTCCTTGTCTTGCTTAGGTAAGCAGCACACCTCCACAGCCCAACTCAAAAGGCCTGGGTTTGTATGAACATGGCAGGAGGCCTGCTGATAGGGCCCCTGGGCCAGGACCCTGACCCCCAAAGGCAGGCAGGAGGGCCAGCCGGGCAGGCCCCAGGCAGAAGCAGGTCTTATGTGTCAGGCTGGTGGAGGTCCGGGAGGCCCTGACCCAGATCCGGAGGAAGCAGGCGCTCCAGGACTCTGAGCGGAAGGACACTGAGCAGGAGGCCGACCTCAGGTGGACACCGCCCGCCTCCCTCCTGGGGGGCTGGCTCTGGACCCACCACGTGTGGTCACTGAGAAAAGAGGCTTGAGCCCGGAGTCCCTGCCCCCTCCCCCACCCAGTGGCCCTGGCCCAGGCCGCTCCCGGCTCCCCATCTGGGGATACAGAAGTCAGTGTCTTGCCCTTGTCTGTGTTTGCCCAGGTGGGGTTATCCACCCCCTGCCTCACCGGCCTGGAGGTCAGCCTGGGCCCCCCAGCAGCAGGCCTGGGCCCGGGAAGCATTCTCCATGTCTCAGGGCCCCGCCAACTTCCCGGTGGCTCCCCAGCTAGGCCGGCCAGCTGGATTGCTGTGACCGGCGGCTGGTGCCCTAGGCTGGCTGAGCTGGCCAGGAAGCTGGAGCAGGAGGGACAGTTCCGGGAAGCGGCCTGCAGTGCCCTGCAGAAGAGCCAGGAGGACGTGAGCCAGAGGGTGGACCGTGAGGTGGCCAAGATGCAGGTACCGGGAGGGAGGCTGGATCCGGGCAGCCAGGTGAGCCATCCTTCCTGGCAACATGGTCGGGCCCGGGGGGTGACCCCGAGGTCCTGCGCGGTCCGGTCCGTGGCCACCAGCCGCATGTGGCTCTGTCTGTAGAAAGCTAATGTTTTCGGTCCCTCGGTCGCATGAGCCACGCTTCAGGGGCCCCGTGGCCACGTGTGGCCCGTGGCTGACAGTTTGGGTAGCGCCAAGGTGGAGCTCCTGTTTCATCAAAGAAGGTCCCTCCCTGGCAGCACCTCCGCCACGGGTCCTTCTTGCCGTCGTGGGATCAGCACCCAGATCCGGAAATAGAGCATCGTAGGCCTGAAGCCCCTTCCTCAGCCATTCCTGGGGTAGCCCCACCCCTGGCTGGTGCAGGTTCCCCTCCTGCCCGAGAGACCCAGCCTCTTCAGCTCTGCAAACAGAGCCCGGGGACCGCGTCACCCATGCAGCAGGTGGGGGCGCCGGCCCAGTGCTCCCCAGCTGCTGCCCACATAGCTCGGCTGCCCAGCTTCGGTGGCCTTCCCCTTGCTGCTGCCCTTTGGGAAGTTCGTGTCTTGGCCCAATCGAGATACTGCCCACCGCTGTGGCCAGGAGCTCTGGAAGGCACCGGGCCCAGGGATTCCTGCTGCGCCAGGCATGCGCAGGGCACCACCTCCCCCCCACCTGCCCTCTAGGCCGGGGTCGGCACACTGTGACCACCACCTGTTTTCGTCAAGTCTGATGGGCACGTGGCCACACCCGCTCATTTACTCCAGCCCATTCCTGGGTTTGCACTGGAACCATGGAGCTGAGGACCCCGCGTCCTGGGGCTCCTTACAGAAACGAACTGCTGACCACCCTGCACGTGGTGTGGGTGCTGGCAGGGGCTCAGGACTCACCTGTCCTGTGGCCATGGGAGCTGGGGCCCTGGGCCTTGACGTCTTGTCTCGGGCACACTCAGACCCTTGATGCCCAGGAAGGGAGCCGGCGGGGAGGAGGGGGAGGGGAAGGTGCCCCATCCTGGGCCTGGAGGGCGAGGGCGAAGTGTGTGTGCACTCATATTCCCTCAGCTTCCCTGACGGAGGCTCCCAGCTCAGGATGCGATTCGGCGGCGGCTGTGCCCCCTACCCTGGTGGCGTCTGTGGTCACCGTGGGCACCAAGTGTGGTCTGGATCCACACGAGCTCGGCCTGTAGGCCCTTCACAGCCCTCGTGCCTGGCCCTCCGGGGGGACATGTGGGCCCTGCCTGCCTTCCTAAGGAGGGTGTGGTGGGCCCCGCTCTGCGAGGCTCGGGGACAGCAGGGGACACAGGGCCCAGAGTCCTCAGTGACGGACACGGTTGGGCAAGAAAACAGACCAGCCCGAGCTTGCCCGGGGGCCAGCAGGCGGGGGGCAGGGGATGGACGAGGCGAGGACGGTCGGATTGCACGGCAACCACACTGACTCCCACAGGCCCAGGTGACCAAGCTCTGTGAGGAGATGAGCCTCCGCTTCCTCAAGAGGGAGGCCAAACTGTGTGGCTTCCTGCAGAAGAGCTTCCTGGCCCTGGAGAAGGTGGGGGTCCATGGGCCTGCGGCTGGGCCGTGCCCCCGCGCCCCCGCTCACGGCAGGCGGGCCGGTCTCCCCACAGAGAATGAAGGTGTCTGAGAGCACCTGGCTGAAGGCGGAGAGCAGCCTGCGGGGTGAGCTGGAGAGCCGGTGGCAGAGGCTGCAGGAGCGGGCCGAGGAGTGCGTGCAGGCCCTGCAGGGGCAGCACGAGGTGGGCAGCCCAGGGCCGGGGGTGGGGGGGCGGCGGGGGCATCTGGGCAGGCGGGCGGCCGGGGCAGGGGCTCAGGGCCACCTCTCCCGCAGCAGGAAGAATGCCGCCTCCTGGAGCAGTGCCGGGGCCTGGACCAGGCCGTGATCCAGCTGACCAAGTTCGTGCGGCAGAACCAGGTGTCACTGAACCGGATCCTCCTGGCTGAGCAGAAGGCCTGGTGGGTGTCCAATCCGCCTTTCTCCCCGGCGCCCAGTGCCCTCGGACGGGGGCTCCTGGTCCCCCCGCGGAGGACTCTGCACCCTCCAGTGGACACAGCCCCGTCCAGGGGGCCCTGTGACCATTCTCTATCCCCTGCTCCCCGGGGTCTCCCACGTGGTTCTGGAGCCAGCAGCCAGGCTCCTCCAGGGCCAGCCCTGAGAGGGGGCAGCCTGGGCCGAGGGACAGCCTGTGTTGGCACCAACCCCCAGGGACAGCAAGGGGCACCTGGAGGAGAGCCGGGCCGGGGAGCTGGCCGCCTTCCTGCAGGAGAGCCTGGAGGCTGGCCAGCTGGCCCAGCAGGAGGCCCACAGCACGCTAGAGCTGGTGAGGGCAGCAGAGGGGTGGTCAGCGTCCCCAGGGGACCCCCGCCTCCCCAGGCAGCCATGTTAAAGCCCCCCTCCCACAGCTCCGAGAGAAGAGCCAGGCCCTGGAGGTGTCGCTGGCCGAGCTGGGGAAGCAGGTGAAGGACCTGAGTGACCACTTCGTGGCCCTGAGCTGGAGACTGGATCTGCAGGAGCAGACGCTGAGTCTGCGGCTGAGTGAGGTGAGCGCGGTCCTGGGGGAGCCGCGGCCCCGAGGCCTGCCATGGCCCCCAGCACGCGGTGGCTTCCGCAGCAGGGCCAGCAAGCCCTTGCACAGGGGCTCATTCCTCTTTTTTGCATGGTGTCACTGACACACAGTTCCTACGACGTGCGGTCCACCCTTGCGAAGCCTGGGGCTCGGCAGCTCCTTGCGTCCTCAGGGCTGAGCTGCGGTCATGTCACTGGGACATCTTCTCCGTTGCCACAGACAAAGCCCCGTGCGGCTAGCTGTCCCTCCCCACCCCGCAGCCCCTGGCGACCACTGACTGGCCGCCGGCCTCTGTGGATTCGTAGGGTGGTCACCCTCTCCTGCAGCTGTGGGCGGCTGTCTGTCCCCGTCCCTGTCGACTCCTGGTGGGCAGGGGACTGAGCCAGGCCTTCCTATGGATGTGGTTCTGTTCAGCCTGGAGTACCCAGGTCCCCGGAGAGCCATCTGTCCCCCCCGTGCAGACTACAGGGAGCTCTCAGCTGCGGGGTTGACCCTCTTGGCTCCAACTCTGGCTCTAGGGGGCCCCGTCCCTCTGTCCATCCCCCTCCGTCCCCCAGCTCCGGCCCTCACTGGCGTCTGTGTTCCAGGCACAGAGAAAGTGGGAAGGCTCGGAGCAGGAATCGCTGGAGGGCCTGGCCCAGTGTCAGAAGGAGGCCGAGGCGTGCCTGAGGGGGGTGCGGGAGCGAGTGGACAGCCTGGCCCAGCAGGTGGGTGAGGGCCAGGGGTATGGCACCCCAGCCCCGCTGGGCCACCTGGGCTGCCCGTCCACCCTGCGTCTGTTGCAGATAGAGGCCGTCTCTGACAAGTGCATCCTGCACAAGAGCAACTCAGACCTCAAGATCTCAGCTGAGGGCAGAGCCAGGTGAGGCCCCAGGACTGCAGCAGCTGGAGGTGCATCCACGAGGCTTCCCCTCCCGCAACCCCGGCTCCTCCCCGGCTCTGGGCTCGGCTCCCCCCAGGTGCAGCCCACACAGGACCTTGAGCTTCGCCGTCTGTCACCTGCTGGGGACCTGCCAGGTTCCACTGGAGGGGTGGCAAAGCTGAGCACCCACCCCCTGCACACCCTGCCCTCCTTCCGCACTTGCCCTGTCCCCGCCCCTGCCCCCCCCACAGCCTCCTATTCCAACAGAGAGTTCGAGGTCGGGGCTGTGCGGCAGGAACTCGCCGCTCTGCTGTCGTCCATGCAGCTGCTCAGGGAGGGCAACCCCGGGCGGAAGATCGCCGAGATCCAGGGCAAGCTGGCCACGGTACCCCTGGGGCCCCCGTGCCCATCACGCTCAGCAGAGGGGCCCCCGGGGAGGCCCCAGATCCCAGACACCCGGAGGTCAAGTGGCTCACAGAGCCAGTGTGAAGTGGGGGGCACCTGTCTGGAGCCCCCCACATGCTGGGGGTGTCATCACGGTGAAATGAGCCAGCCTGAGCGCTGGCCAGGTCCACCAGGTCACCCAGCGAGGGGCCGGGACCTGGTGTCAGAGGCCAGATCCTACCTTGGGGGCCTGGGGTGGGGACCGCCCTCGGGCCGCGTCCGGGCTGACAAACGGGCGGCCTTCAGTTCCAGAACCAAATAATGAAATTGGAAAACAGCATGCAGGACAACAAGACCATCCAGAACCTCAAGTTTAATACAGAAACCAAGCTGGTGAGAGGCAGCGCCTGCGCTGACCCCGCCCCGGAGGCTCCTGGCCCCTCACCCCTCCCTGCAGGGCCCCTAGCTCTGTGGGCTTCCCTACGGCCGTCCGTCTGAGTGTCTGGCCCGAGCAGGGTTTCCTGGTAGATAAGACCCAGGTCTGTCCAGAGAGAGATAAATCCCGGGGGCTGTCCCGTCCCCCTCTGGCTGGATTCCTGCATTCCTGCAGCAGCCCCTCCTCCCGGCGCCCTTGTCCACAGCGCATGGAGGAGACCGCCAGCCTGCGTGAGAGCATCATGTGCCTACGGAGTGAGGAGGGCCCGTGGGCTCTGCGGCTGGGCAGCAGGAGGGTCCTCATGTCCCTGGGGAAGCAGCAGTTCTTCATCAAGAATGCGGGGCCCGGAGAGGTGGTCCCCGTGAACCGCTGGGGCATGTATCAGGCCGTGAGGTGCGCCGTGGGGAGCCGCCTTCTGGAGATCCCTCCAGGTCTGGGGCGGTCCTGGGGGAGGCCCCGAGGCCACTGGGCATGAGCCGTGTCTTGGGCAGGTGGCTGCAGTGGAAGGCGGCTCTCATGAACCTGGGGGCCCAGCGGAGGCCACGCGCATTCCTGGAGAAGTCCTTTCGCCAAGAGGCTGCCCGACAGGTCCCATCCTTGCCCCTTTCCCAGAAATAAATGTGCCGGTTCCTGTACCTGTCAGCGTCCCGAGCTCCTTCCCAGGAGCCCAGCTGCCCCAGGCCTGGCACCTTCCTGGGCCGTCCTGCCCTCAACTGCAGCATCCTGGAGCCCCACCCACTCCTTGCAGGCCCCCAGAGGGCCAGCTGGCCCGGCGTGGGGTCCCGTGCCCTTCACACCTGCGCCCTGGCCAGCAAAGGAAGTAGCTCTTCCTGCCCTAATCTAGGGAGCAAACAGCATGTTTGCTCACACACTCAGGCAGCACCCCTTTTTCCTGCCTCCAAGAAAACCCTGCTCATCCCACAGTAGCTGGTCTTGCCACCTACCATGGGGCCTGGGGGACGGGCAGCCCTAGCACCAGCCAGCCGGGTGGCTGCCGACCTGGGATCTCATGACTGGTCTGGATGGCCAGTGGGCCTCGCCCAGAGTGGGGCACAGTGTGCAGACCGCCTGAGCCCAGGGCCTCCCCTCCTGGGGGCAGCGTGCCTGGGACGGCAGCTCCTGCCCATTCCCTGCCCAGGTGGCCTCTGGCGGTGGTGGCAGCTCCGGGCCGCAGGAGGAGCCTGGCCTGTCCTCCTGGGCCTGGGAAGTCCCTCCCTGAGCTGGCTGGTTGGACGGCCCCTGGGGCTCCGACAGAGAGAACAGTGACAGGCCTCCCTCCTTAAGGAAAGGCAAAGCTGCCATCCCGCTCGCCCCCACGGACCCTGGCCCACTGGCTAGGCCTCGGCCAGCTATACCCCGTCCAGGGCCTGGGCCCCTCCCCCGGGCAGCTCGGGGCCAGTCTCCGCTGACCAGCTGGCCAGCAGGTCGCTGAAGTCAGGCGTGCCAGGGAGGAGCAGGCCCAGGGGGCCGGGGGCCGGCTCCTCCCAGAAGGAGAGAGGCAGCTTCCTCTGGGTCATGGGGACGATGTGGCCATACTTTCGCTCCAGCCTGAGCCGCCTGCCGGCTGGGGCCCCAGGCCCTGAGTACTGCCGCAGCCCGTAGTCGAAGAGCTCGGCCAGGGGCCCCAGCCCGCAGGCCTGCCCCTCGGGACCCCTGGGAGAGAGGACCCCGGACTCCGCAGCCTGGTCGCCATCTGGGGGCCCACCCGGGGCCAGGCGTGCCAGGTCAGCGCATGGGACGTCCTGGGCTGCACTGTCGTCCGCGTAGATGTCGCAGGCGTCGGGGTCCTGCCCCCTGTCCTTGCGGCCAAAGTACCGCTGGATGTCACCACTGATAAGCTCGGAGAACCGCAGCAGCTGCAGGGGTGTCTCGGGGCTGCTGGGACCCGGGGGGCCTGCTTCTGGGGCCCAACCCGAGGCCTCGGGGGCTGGGCTGCGGCCGCCTGGCCCCTCCGGCTCCTCCTCGTCTTCCTCGTCGTCCTCGTCCTCAGAGGTCTCCTGGGGCTCCGGGTCTGAGGGCAGGAAGGGCCGGCGGGTGGGCAGGGGTGGCAGGAAGTCACAGAGAGGCCGGATCACGCCTGCGGCCATCTCCTCGGGCCTGCGTTTCTGGGGCAGCAGGTGCGGCTGGGGAGGGAGGTGGAGAGTGGACGGGTCAGGACAGGTCAGCCCTCAGGGCCCCAGGCCTGCCCAACCACACTTGTGCTCGGAGCAGGTGCCACGTTCGGGAGCCAGGGAGGTGTGGAGAGAGACTAGGGCCGTGGGTGCTGGGGGTGGGGGTGCAGAGACTGTTCTTGATCAACAGGCCCACCTGCTGAGGGGCATCTGCCCAGGTGCTGGCAGGCAGGGGCCCCTGGGAGCTGGGCCTGGCTGTCTCAACCAGCACGCTAGGTCCAGGTCCCAGAGCCCCTGTGGCTTCGGGGGTCTCACGGGCTTAGGGGCAGGCCCAGAGCCAGGCGCTGGTTCCCCCGCGCTGTCTGATGACACGGATGCAGTGCAGGCCCCAGGCTTTCATCTGCTCCCTGGCCCCCCGGGGTTTGGAGGGGTCGGCAGGTCAGCAGGAAGCAGGGAAGGTGTGTGGGTCTGGGGCTCAGGGCAGGGTGGGCAGGGTGGGATTTGGGGAGGTGACAGAGACCGGGTGGCCTGAGGCCAAATGGGGCTGACTCTGAGCATTGGAGTGCTCTGGCCCCTGGGGACGAGTGCGGGGGGCGCAGCTTGCAGCGGGGAGGGCCCTTTTGCCTCCCAGCAGGAAGGGAAGAAAGGGAGGGTGGTGTGGAGAGAGGGAGAGGGGGCTCCCAGCTTGTCAGAACCCCTACCCCAGGGAGGCTCACTCGGGCGGGGCTGCCCTCCTGCCTGCCCTCTGCCGTCTACGTTGTCCCCTGGCTCTCACTCACCGCGCTGGGGCCCCTCGTCCCTGCCGGGGGTCCCGTGGCCCCAACAGTGGGCTGTGGGGAAGATGTGGGCGCCCCCTTCCCCAGCCCCGCCCCTTGCCCTCCCGCTGGGTGGGTGGTCCGCATGGCCCACCTGGCCAGAGGGCCCACCGCCTTCCGGGGAAGGGGGAGGAGGCCGGGTCCCCGCGCACCATCCAGCCCGGCTCCTACCTGCTGAGGCCTGCAGCTCCTGTGGGGCAGGCCCACCTCCACCTGGGCTCAAGCATTTATAGCTGGGCTCTGCGGCCAGTGGGCTGGCAAATATTTGGTGACTGCATTGTCATCGCAGACTGGGCAAATAGAGCCCGTTTGCTTTAGCGCCCAGCAACCAGGGCCTTGCGGGGGGAGCCTCAACCTGCCCGGGGACCGTGGAGTGTTTGCCGCAGGCCCAGCTGGCTCACACCCGGGGCCGAGGACCCTTATCTCTGCCACTGATTGGGATCCGGACCAAGCCTTGTCAAATAGGCGGAAAATTAAATTTCATGCTATTTTGACTTCTGGAGTAGCCTTCTCTAGAGGACATCCTGCTTCTGCGGTTCTCTGGGTAAACGGTGTTCCAGGCCGGCGGTAGGAGCTGGGCAGGCCAGGGACAGGAGGCTGTGGGGACCACCGGCCAGGGCTCAGGTGGTGGCCTCTCATGCAGGGGGCCGCCTCCAACCGCCGGGCCCTCCTGGGCGCTGTGACCAGTCTCAACCCTGCCAGGCGTGGCTGTAGGACTCCCAGCCCCTCCAGCCAGCTCCCGCCACCCCAGAGCTGCAGGTGTGTTTACAACAAACCCAACTCAGCCCCTGCTGCCCCTGACACAGGGCCTCACCCCCAGGGCCCAAGCTGGTCCCGTGCCGCTGCACCCCCCACCGCGGAGCCCACCTAGGCGCATCCTCATGAGCCTTCCCGCAGGGTTACAGCCGACACCACCCGCAGGACCCCGGGGGCTGCTGCCTGGGGCTGCCTGAGTGTCCTGGGGCCACGGTGGCCAGTCACCCAAACTGGGGGGCTAGGAGCAGCAAACGGGTATCATCCAGGTGGGAACCCATGCTTCCCTCCCGGCATCCACTGTGGGGACGCTCCTTGGCTGCAGCCCTATCACCGTAACCTCTGTCTCCATCTGTGCATGGCCTTTGTCCCACGGGAGCCTGGGTCCAAGTTTCTCTCTTACAAGGACACCCGTCATTGGATTTAGGGCCCACCAGGCTCCAGTCTGACTTCGTATTCATTACAGCTGCAAAAACCCTATTTCCGCATGAGGCTCCATTCCAGGGTTCAGGTGGATGTGAGTTTTGGGGGACAGTCATTCACCGTACGTGGTCTCTGCTAGGTGCCTCGCTCCCAGCTGGGAGGACTCCAGAATCCTGTCCGCTGTGGCTCAAAGCCACCCCTGCTTTTGGGCCAGCCAGGTTCTGAGGATAGGTTGGTAGCCCCCTCCCAGCTTGGCAGGCCCCCGGTCCCTGATCTCCCTCCCACCAGTGAGGGCTCATCCTTCCAGGGATACCCTCCCAGTCCTCCCTGGACCGTTGGTCTTGGTTCCAGGCTCTGCTCCCTTCAGGCAAGAGCCAGCACCTGTCCTACCTAGTGATGCCCCATTACACTGGGGTGTGGGCACAGACCCAGGCCTTTCCTGCAAGCGGGGACCATGGGGGGATTGCTGCTGGGCATTTCTTGGGCACTCGGAGGGCCCGATGCAGGAGTCATGGTCAGGACGCCCAGCTTTGGGGGAGTGACAGGGAAATGAAGCATGGGACCCACCTTGGGCCAGGCTGGTGACTTGCCGTGGGTGGGTCTTTGGAGCTGCCAATGTCTCCCAAGCAGGTGGTCTGCCTGGGCCAGGGCCCGTGCAAGGAGAGCGCAGGGTGGTGCAGCATGCCAGGACTCCCTACAGCCTATGGTTCATGGTTTCCTGATCATCACAGCCCCATCCCCACGTCCCGGGGCGAGGCTGGGACACAAGTAATCTGTCTCGTGAGTCCAGTCTACATTTGGAACTCGGTCCCCAGAAACTGACTTCAGGCACGGCCACAGTTCTGCCCCGAGACTCCGGTTTCGATGACACTGTTGTCCAGGCTCCAGCCGTGGGGCGGCCCTCCCCCAGCCGCTGCCGTCCCCTCTGACCCAGCACAGTCAGCATCAGCCCTCTGGGACAGGCCGGGTCCCCAGGGAGGGGCCCAGCAGGTGCCCGGACTGTGGCCACAGCGCCCCCTGCTGCTCCCCGGGAAGGGTGTTGGCTGGTGCAGGTGTCTCCTTGCTCAGCTGCCAAGGTGGGCCCCGAGGACTCAAGGGGAGCGCAGTCTGGGTGAAGGCTCCAGGAGGGCATTTGGGCTCGGTCTGCAGCCCTCATCGGTGCCCTGCCTGGGCTGGGCAGTGTGGGGGCTCTGAGGAAGGTTAGACATGGCCCTGCCCGCGAGAACGTCCCCTCTTGTGTGACCAGAAGAGGGGCTTCATGGAGGAGGTCATTTGCTCGGCGCCGATGGGACCAGGAGCTCACCCGGTCCATCTGTGTGAAGTGCAGGTGTCCAGCAGAGGGGACGGCCTGCAAAGATCTATGCCACAAGGAGCTGACACCCCATGGTTGGTGGCCCTGCAGACGTCCACACCCTAATCCCCTGGGACTGTGGACATGTTATGTCACATGGCAAAGGGCCCCACAGGTGTGATCCTGGATTGTCCTGGGGGCCCAGTGTCATCACAGGGGTCCTGACCAGAGGGAGGGCAGTTAGGGTCAGAGGGGAGATATGAGCATAGGGGCAGGGTTCCTGCTGGCTTCGAAGGTGGAATGGAGGGTCCCCGCGTCTGGAAAACGCAAGGAAGTGATTCTCCCCAGAGCCTCCAGAGCGCCGCCCTGCAGGCACCTTGATTTGGGGCTGCTTTGGACTTAGGATGTCCAGGACAGCAGGATAATGCATCAGCGCTGAGCCCCTCTGTCTGGGCTCGGCAGCCACAGGACACTCCCAGCTGGAAGCATCGGCTGGAAGGTGGAGTGAGGTGATGGCGTGCAGGGCCTCCTGGCTGGGCCATGGAGTTTGGCCCTTTCTCCAAGGCAGCCTGGGCACTCAGCTCTGCCCTCTGTGGCTGGAACAAATCTCAGGGTGAGGGTGGGGCTCTCACAGAGAGGACCTACCACAGTCACCACCCCCACCCAGGGCCCACTCCTTCCCAAGGGCGCTTGTTCCCCAACCCCCCACAGGCCTACTTCTCTATCCTGGCCTCTGCCTCAGGCCCCTGGTCAGTGGAGCTGGGGCTTTGGTGGGGGTTTGGGTCCTGCAAGTGGCCCAGCGAGATATTCACTAATGCCAGCCATGGGAAGACTGTCCACAAATAGCCAGACCTTCCCTGTCTGTTTCTGCTGGCATAATCCCAATGCTTTTTTCTGCCTGACCAGAGACCAAGGAGGAAACCCCAGCCTAGGACAGAGAATTTTAGATTCGAGGAGACACCAGAGCAGATAAAGGTTTAGGAAGAGGAACCTGGGCAGTGCAGAGTGGGGTGGGCATCTGGACAGAGGAAGCCTGAGCCTGGAGACCAGGGAGGGTGCTACTGCACTAGTCCCAGCAGTCAGTGATAGGGCCGCACAAAGCACAGCCTGAGGGAGTAAAGGTGGGGGACAGGCATGAGAGGGATTTAAGAAGCAGGTGTGAAGTCTTAGTAGGGGTGTGCATGAATTACCCCCATCCATGCCACTTCTGAGTCTGAGTCATGTTCAAGAGGAACACAGGAGTCCAGCGAGTGGAGGCTGAACTCTGGCTTTTGTTACTGGCAAGGCTGGGTTGGTGGAGACACAGTTTCCCAGAATCACTGTGCACACAGTCCAGCCAGGTGTTGGGTGACCAGGGCCAGGCCAAGTGACATGGGTGTCCCAAGACCCCCCGCTGCCCACCGGGACCCCTGGAGTGGGGCTGGGACTGATGCACTCAGGCTGCCAGGCTTGGGCCCCCGCACATGTCCCAGCACCTTTCCCCAGTCAGCTCCAGTGTGGGCCATGCCTGGCCTTACAGAGCTCTCGGCCCTCGCTGCCCCCGCCAGTCCCTGCCCCTGTGGTCAGGCCTCCATCCCTGGGGAAGAGGCTCTGCTCTTCAGAAGGCGTGGACCTGCCTGTCCCCATGCACCCCATATTGATCTTCCTGGGGAAAATCAATAGCCCCAATATGTCAGCTCTCAGGTGAACCAGCC